CAGCATGTTCGTTGGCTGGCACTACTATATCTGGATAAATTTAAATTTAAAATCGATAAAAAAAAAATAAAACCGTCTATCCCGGCTCATCCGATGGTCAACGTCCACGGTCGTGGGGCACGCTGACCCGTAGAGGATCGCATTGTGTTCTCTTAAGGACGGCGGCGCATAGATCCTCGGGCATACTATACACTATAGCCGGTTATAATATTATGTAGACGTCAAGCGTCATAATGACAACGCCACCTTGAACGTATTACTATTATTTCACGTATTCCGTGCACTTGAAATTTTATTACATTTAATACGACGATTGTAAAAAAAAAAAGGTAGGTATAATATGTTGTGAACAATTTTTTTAACGACAATACAGACATAATATACATCGTGGCGCGAACGGTTCACAAGGTTACTAGTACAGATTTTTTGATTTTTTTGCACGGCACATATCATTACTACCGTACATACTATACATATTTGTATTTTTTTAACGACATTGTAAAGCGATAAACGACGACTCGAAAATATTATTATGAGCGAAGCACACTCATTAAAAAAAACAACAGAAACTGGTTTTGTGCGTACGTTTCCGTGTACCTATATATAATATATTAACAACCGTCGTCTGTGTGTGAGTACGCATTGGGAATATTTAAATGTGTTAAAAAATTAAAAAGTGATTTTGTCGCAAAACCCATACGTAACAGGAATTTCAATTCGATGCATACGAGTCCAGGGTTGAAAGTGCTCAATTACTAATTTACTATAGCCTTTTCCCCCTGTTAGTTTCAAGAAACTAGCTAGTTATTAATCAATAGACATACACAATAACGCAACGCTGGTATAATATGATTTTGAGTTATTAGACGATAGTAATTTTCAGCCGGAAACCTGTTCCCCGCGGACCGTCCCCCTTGACTTTAGCTAAGGTCCGGTAAGGCAAATAATATATACACTACCATATATGTGTGACACTCCGGTTTGGATAGGTATAATCAATCGAGTCACCGAATACAGAACACTAAAAATCAACAAGAATCCGGTCTCGCTTAGCGCTTAACATTTACAATTAATAACATTCAAAACAGATTTCTTTCTTGATTATTTTTTTCAGTTTGTCAGTAAACAAGCCGAGACTTAGTTGCGGTACGACAGGTCAATGTCACTGTTTTGTCAAACGATGGGAATATTTGCTTTCCACGAGAAAGAGCATGAGATCATCATCGTGTCATATTAAACTCAAATAATTGTTTTTAATGCTAACCAAAGACGTGCAATTTGTTTCGCAAAGGGTTATCACAACTACACGTAATAATGTCTAATGGTGAGTAATCAAACTTGTTTATAAGTGAAATTATCCATTATTTCAGCAAGCCTAACGCGTACACAGTTTATATGCAGTTGTAAAAAAAAAAAGAAACGTCATACAACCGAATCGTTAAGACTTGTATTGTGTTATTTTTTCCGCGTGATCCGAATTTATAAACCGAAATACAGAAATATTATTATACAAGCGACAACGGCTTTAACGCAGACTCGCCGCTGTAAACACACAATGTAAAATCCGAGATAAGTACACGCTTTTCCCCGTGACTCTCGGTATACAAATTAAGATCGTTATTGTTGTTGTAATACTCGGATTGGTCAAGCACACGACGACGAAAGCCACCGGGGCACCACGCTTCTGGTCTGGTAGGTGATATCTGGTTGTGTGTGTATATTCGTGACTTGTTCGGTTTAGGCCGAAAGAGATTGTGCTCGCCGTTTTTGTCTGCGTCCTTAAGGCGTCCGTCGATTTCCAAACGAAACCCGCGGACAATGCGTAATTAGAAATGGACTTAACGTCAGAATAGACAAAAAAAAAAGGAACACCACCACGTCCGTCATTGTCGTTGCACACAATATACTATGTACTCTTGTCACACACACACACGGGGCGCATTATAATAATGTATACCTATCTCTATACTTTTCGACTACAAATTACATATTGCCCCGGATAATCGAAACGAAATATGCACGACATACAAAGTGATTCTCGACGACGATGACATAACGTTTGCGTTGTCCACCGAGTTCACAGTGAATCACTCTGTACATAGCTATTGTGATCAACCAACAGCAAGACGCTCTGTGGCCGGTCACGGGCTTCAGGCCGTCGCTTCTTCTGTGTGGCGAAATCTTTACAGTATAACTTGTAGGTATACAGAGCTCTGATCTGAACTATTATGCACAGAGCGGATGGTCGCCACCGAACAATGACTCGGCAGCTCATTTCGTGCGCTAACGATTTTTGTTTTTATTTTAACCAATAATAAATGTATATACCTACATAATATAACCGTTGGCCGACAATAATATTATTATTTTGTCGTTTGCACGCACAAAACCGCCACGGTAAAACGTGTAGGTACACTAGGATAGGATTAATTATCGCAACGGTTTTTTTTTTGCACTTTCTCATTGCGTCCAATCACTTTTATTGTATCCCGTGTTTAAACAAAGGCTTCCTGCGATTTATGTATAGGATATACAGACAATTTGAATGACCCAATTTTGTTTTAAAAAAAATGTACATAAATGTATACTCCCGTCGGTTCTTTTTTTTTTTTTAATGGGGTTTGGCGCTAAGACTCGCGTTCGAAAACAGGTTTTTCCCAGGGAATCGTGCGTGCCAACAGAGGATCTTATCAATCCGGTCGAACCGCCGGAAATATTTTACGAGGATATTAGCCGCAGTTTCCACGACGAGAAGACTACAGCAATAACAACAACAACAATATTATACACTCGAGCTATGGTATAACACCGCATAGGCAGGCACGGTGACATAAAACAACTGCAACCGGTGCGTCCCCATAAGGTTCAAGGGTATACAAGGCAACAAGCTTTTGTCCGACAACGCGGCCCGACTATATATGTATAATAATATTGTACACACCGTATAGCAGCAACTGCAGTAGGCAATAGGTATATATTGCCATGACAGCGGCAGAGAGAGGAGAGGTTTAATAGGAGAGTGAACGTATAAGGCAGAATCGATTGCCATATTTGTATAGATAAAAGAAAACGGCGATCGAGTATTATAGCAATGCCGCCGACCGGTACAGAACGTACACTATTAAATATATTATTATAATAATATTATTATCTTGGATATTTTTCCGTTTACAGGTTACAGGCAGGTGCGTTTAAGTGCACACAGGGCTAAAACGGGTCATGGTCGCCACATTTGCACGCAGATTTTACCAACAACAAATCATACCGTAAAAATTGCTATGGGTACACCCAAAAACGGATGACACAATAGAAAAATAAAAAAAATCTTTCGTTTTCGTATCCACTACCGGTCTCGACCGATTGCTTTCGGTAAAAAAAAAATTATATTTAAGACAACCCAAGCCCAAGGTCGAGTGAATTATATATATTATTTATGGGGTGAATACGGTTCTTTTACACGGATTTCGATCATATACAAACTAATCTTATGCTGCAATCTCCCGTCTAGTAAATTATGATGATGATGACAACGTCGAGCAAGTCTTTGCTAATTTTTTTTTAGCATTATTTATTTAATCGCCCCGCCGGCCGATGAAGCTCGTTGCACGGTCTTGACGCTGTCACCGACCGTCAAGACCGTAAACGCATTACTATAACTATACACAAATAATAATGATGATAATAATAATAATAATAATTATGCTTGGCCGAGTCAACAAAACAAAATCAACGGACCAACGACCGCCACCGCCGTTTTCTATGATCGAGTACTTTGAATAAAAACCGCACAATTTGGTAAACCTGTAATTTGACGTTGGTTTCTCGATTAACGCGCTGTAAAAATCGTGACCGGCTAATATCCATTATAAAAACACCATAGAAATTGCATGTCTTTAATACACAAGTCACAGCAGCGCCTACAACATTATTATACTATTATACTTTCATCTTATTAGGAAAATGTTATTTTTTCGTAGCCGAGGCGCTAAAATTGCAATTATTTTGGACACAAAATGGGGAAAACACAATGCATTTTTTTTTCGTAGGTAGATAAAATATGTTATATATTTTGTATACAAAGAAAAGATGTTCATAAACAAGAAGGTTTTAACGAGGGTCTCGGGCAAACCTATAACAGCTGAAGTTGGAATGCACCTGTCAGCCGTCAGGTACATAACAGTATAGGTAGGTATTTGATATATACGAATTTCGAAAACCAGATGCCAAAACACCAAACACAGTGCAATTTGTTTACTTTTAAAAGTGTAAGTTACCTTACAATAATTATTATTGTAAAGAATTCACGGTGAACAGGTCACAGTTTTAAACTTTAAGACCAAAACTGATTAAAACCTATTAGATAATTTCAAACAATAATCGTATTTTTTTAGTTTTTAAATAGTAAGGCCAACTGACATGCTATGCTTTTTCTCAGGTAAACTGTGTGTACATTATAACGGAAATGCTCGAAACAAAAGGAAGAGTGTTGTTCGTAATACTTGAGTAAACTTACAGTTAGTGTTAAATAATAATGAAAGTAAAATATGAATATACTTACTTTAATACTATAAAACAAAAACAATACCGACGTTAAATTGCAGAAAAATAACAAACGAAAACTCCAAAATGACTGAATTCTAAAATCGGCGATTGTAGTATTATTTTTTAAATTAATAGAATATTAACATTAATGTATTTTAAAACTATAAACCGAGATACGCGTAGGTGAATATGCGAAAAAGAAAAAATGCATCTTTTTTTCTCAAAATGTTTGTTTACACGTTCTACAGGTGTTCCGTCTTATCACCATAAGATACTAATATGGTGTTCACGGTCTACAATAAAGGGTGCCCACGATGCACAGGTGTTTTCGAGGCGTTGACTTTAGAAATGAAACTAGCTTATCAGCTGCTATCGACGAGACCAAAATCGCCCAAAATATCAATAATAATTAATAATGGTGATAATAATAATAATAACAACACCGGGGGTGTACTCACGGTTGTAGTGTGGATCGTACATTAGCTATACCGAACACACGTTGCAAAAACAATTATCACGGTGCCATGGATGCCACAAAACTGTGTAAAAATAAACAACAATTATTACCTACACAGAGGGGAAAAATAACAACAAAACACTGTATAATCGGCGCACAGGTAGAACGTCAACAAACACGGTGACGGAGCGACTGAGGACGAGCGAGGGACCGGGGTGGCCAGTCGCCGTGTAACTCATGGCAACCGCGGCCGGCGGCGGCGGTGTGGCATGAGCTGGCCGCGACAGTGTAGGTGTTCCGAGCGACACGAAAATACCGTACGCGACACACCTGTCTCGGCGCTCGCCAATATGCCGCCGACCTGCCGTAAAATAACACAAAATTGAAAATAATATGAACCCGAATCTTATATGACAATCCAAAAGTCGGGATTTTCGAAAATTCGATTTTTTTTTTTGCATTTTCTTAAAGTATGATGTTTTGAAAATATTATCTAAAAATTTCAAGTTAATCAAAGGAATAGATGACTCGATGTAAGTAATTATATAATTCATATTTCTATCGAGTATAAAACTTTAAAAAAAAAAAAAAAGCTTCGATCAGGCACTAGATTAACTATTGAACTAATGATTTTATTAGGTTTGATTGATTTTAGATAATTCAGTTAGATTGAATGTTGGTCACCGCAAACACGACTTGTGAGACGGGGTCCAACAAAATATATAGCGATAGTTTGGTCTACGTTACATTTTTTTTTAATTCTTGTCAAATAAAGTTAATACAATAACTTTATATTATTTGTTCCCTCATTTTTTGACCCCGCTGACTACCCCAAACCCCTTATAACGGATAAAATGTTGTAAAAAAAATGCAAAAAGTAACCGCTGCGGACAGGATTCGAACCTGTGCGGGCAGAGCCCATTAGATTTCGAGTCTAACTCCTTAACCACTCGGACACCGCAGCTCGAGGTCGATATTGCTATTTATGCCAATCCAAAAGGTAGATTGAACGGGTAAAATGTTATTGGAAAAAAATGCAAAAAGTAACCGCTGCGGACAGGATTCGAACCTGTGCGGGCAGAGCCCATTGGATTTCGAGTCCAACTCCTTAACCACTCGGACACCGCAGCTCATGGTGTCGAGGCCGATAAACGCCCCCATTTAAGTTCAGACTAAAATAGACAACCATGACAAAACGACTGCAATTATACATTTTTAGAACATTTTAATCGTTTTCGTTGCAATTTCTACATATAGTATGAGCTATTTATTAATGGTAATTTCCCTTTAATCGTAAATAGCACAAAATCAACCGGGTCAAGAAAGCGGTAATGATAAATAAGTCCATTTTATGTTTTGTAAAAATACTTTCAGTATACATTTATAATATGTTATGTTTGGTCATCGACGGCGATTCCGAGATAAGAAAAAATATACTAAGATGAAAGATCATCACAATATAAGCGATTGTGATAAAGTTTTGCTGTTTAAATCTTATTATTAAAATCTTAGTGCTGTATCATAATACTACCTAAACCAATAAAACTTCTAGAGAAGGTTAAAGAAGGTTAAATCTTCTAATAATAAAATAAAATTTGTTTTATTTGCTTGTTATAACAGTGTCGACGGACCTAACCTTCCATAACTTTTTTTATTTTAAGTTTTGAAATAACTTATTATCACGAATCTTTGAAATATTAAATATCAAAAATTTTAAATTACTTAATATGCTGAGTTGTATAAAGAATTAATAAATCGAATGGACCAATAACGGGCCACTAAATTATATGTTGAAGGAACCATCAAACCTATTAATTATTAAATTAACAATTGAATCTATTGATTCATTGAACGTTTAGTGAACTTTAATGCAACCCGTACTTAATGTTATAAATCTTTAATTTTTAAATAAAACCTGGAAATTAATATATTATCTTTACTTTAAAAAAAATTCGAAAAAAAAAATTATTTTTATTTAGCAAGATGTACCACCAAAAATGATTTTAAAAAAGATTTTACTAGACACATCGATATGTCGTTTAGATGATTGTATAGGGGTGACATATAACAATAGGAACAATTTTCGCAGATGGTTTAATTTGGAACTGAACCAAAATAACTGACAAGGTTATCACAAAAAAATCTCTAAAGTACCCTTTGCAGAGATGGAGATTTTTTAACTTAGCAATTTTAAATGTTAAGTATGAAGCTAAATATTAGGGTTATTTAAAAATAAACATGATTTTGTGTACAAAATTTTGCCCTCGTTCGTTTTCGTTATAAGTGTTTTTGCTCTAAAACCACCATGAACCGATTAAAACGCGTTCTTCGTTAATATGTTTAGATAAAAAAAAATGTTCAAAATCACTGTCAATGGTGCTGTGATAGCCCGAAAAATATACTATCAATATGAAGTCTTAATTTTGAACTTATTATTACACATTTAAATTAAAATAATATGCTTTAAATTCATAATTTTTTTTGTAGTAGTAAACGAAATTAAGGCGTCATAGTTAGGCAATTATAATTCGTTTTTAGTTGTTACGTTATCGCTCAGTACACTATAGACAATATTTTAAACAATTCGGTTGCTTTCTAATCTCTACACAAAACCCATAATATTACTATACAACAGATTATGTATCGATCTCAATTTGTATTTCTACCGCAGAAGTAAAGACTCCTTCGGCATCTAACAGGTAAACAGTTTTTTTTCTCATAAGAATTACCTACATTTTGAACAAAACCCCTATCATAAAATATTGTATATAATTATTTTTAAATAATCATACATAATTCGATATCTATATTTCTATTCTAAAATATTTTTAGTGATTACTAGAAAATAATGTATTAATAATATAAAATAATAATATAATAGTTAAAACTATATGTTTTGACGTTGGTTGCTAGTTCAAAATACCCAAATAATAAATATTAAAAATTATAAATAATTAATATTAAATTTGGAGTATTAATTTTGGAAATCTTTATTATTGACTGTGCATGTCACGGCAGCAACTAATTAATTATACACACCCTTTGTTTTTTTTTTGTTTTTTTTACGGTCTTTTAGACCACACGTCCAAACATAACATCCACACCCTTTGGTTTACTAAGTAAAACTTACTTTTGTAGTAGCTAAGTTTTATTTCGTATTTTTGTTATTTGTTTTTATTATTTAAGTAAAAATATATTATTGTTTATGAAAAAAGTTTTCTGTTGGGAAATTACTTAGAAGTTCTAATATTTATATTATTCCATTTATTCATCATAATATATAACGTTAACTTATAATATATTTTAGAACATTTTCCTTTTTTACAAAAATCTTGTAATTTTCATACAAATTCGATACATAATTATCATTTCTTTTTTAATTTGTTTTGTAGAGCAGCTATCATTTTCTAACGGATAATAATAATATGAACAATTTCTATGCTTGTAAATAATTATCAAGATAACCTTAATTTGTGTACATAATGCGGGAAAAATCTTATACTTGAGTTCTTTTAAGTCCACTTTTATAAATTTTGATTTTATTATCATTTTGAACTAAGCACACGTAAACACATCGTTTATTGCAGAAAGGAGACCAATCCGACCGTTCAACGTCAAAAATAGCGCTTGGAATTTTTTTAATTATATATTATGTATGTACCTATGTATTATTTACTTTTTTGTGTGTCCTGAAAACTTAGAAAAAGTGGACTTGTCCCCTTTCTGTTGTAGCGATTCTTCAATTAGCTGTTCTGCGTACTAATATTTTTCTGGAAATAAATTAAAGCGATTTGCTACTTTAATCTAATTAATCAATTATAACATTTTATGGCTTTAATTTTCTATAGGTATTTTTTTCTTTGAACCATAACCTGATCATTCCCTACACCTATAGGTGTCAATATTTTACACACATAGCCTGATGCCACAAAATAAATCGTATAAATTAGACCTTGAAACTGTTTTGTTTATTAACACAAATTATGTAAAATTATCAAATACACATTTTTATTAACAATATAATAACATTAGGTAATTTAATTTAATTTTGCTAGATGGAAAAACAAAATTGTAATATAATAAATAAAATAAAAATTAGCAACCGTTTAACCCGGAGAGATACCAGACAAGCCCGGAGTTTTCCGAGAAAAATCCGAAGAAGCCAGAAAACGCGGGGTCATTGTGCCGGGAGTGTAATCGCGAGCGAATTGCCCGGAGCGGTCAAAGGCAAAGTCGGGGAACGGCCGGAGTCCCGGTCGTTTCACGGGAAATTTATCGGACAAAAGACAACTTATTACCCGAAAACCCAAAAGCGCAAGCCCGGCTATAGCATACCCGACCAATCCTGACCAAGGAAAACAAGGAACCCATCCCGAGAACAGTATGCCGGACAAATTCCCGGAAGATTCCCTAAATCTATTTACAGATATAATATACAGATCGAGAATCTGAACTTTGTTACCGTCCCCTCGCCACCGTCACATGTGGGCGAGTGGATTAGGGCAAGGAATGCATTGCAAGAACCTACGAAAACGATTGCAACCCTCTCTCATAAGCCTTCTAAGGTTTCAACAAAAAACGGGTTTCAAGTAGTATATCTATTACCATTAGCTGCTAAAAACCACTTTAAAAATGAAATGTATGTGTTTGTTTCAGATGAAGGGGGAAAAGAGTGTTACGTGACCGAGGAGATAACGGCTCATTTGGAACTACGAGAACCAACTGGAACCATTTCAACAACTATAAAGAAGCCGTTAATTACCGGAAGCATAGCTTTTCGCAGTGAGATCTCCCTCATCGGACTATAAATCCGCAGCCCTCAAACGTGTGTCGTACAGTGAGTCTGTCTCGGATTTAACTCTTGTCCGACTTGTCCGACTAAGTGTGGTCGACTCCGGGACTAATAACAACTGAGTTTCTAATCGGTCTTGCTCCGGATCTTCCAGGAATTTGTAACCAGAGTGGTGAACGAATGCTTGAAAACAGCCAAATTCCCGGATTGTTGCAAGGCAGCGAAGGTCGTGATTACACCCAAGTGTACGGGGATGACCTGGCGGTACTCTCCCGGTTCATACAACGACAGAATATTATAAACACCAGGATAAAACGCATAGGAACGCATATTCAGATTAACAACCAGTATATAATATAATATAATATAGGTCAATTTTGAATATCATATTCTATATATTGTAATATATAAAATTATATCAGTAATTTAGTTATAATTTGTAAGCTATAATATTATTATTATTATTTTAATAAACGCTAAACACACACACTGATATCCCCTCTTAAAGATCTCCTGTTATAACCATTCACTATCATCCATATTTCTTTAATAATCTTATGCTCATAAAGTTTGTGTTCAGCTAAGAAGTTTTCTATTTAACTTGGATAATATCACGTTCGACACAGATAGAAGACCATCGGTAGTCTTGGCCGCTTTCTTTGTAAAGTGGTGCCTTGATAACTGTCGAGCTTAACTGCTGATAAACATACTATAAGTGCTCTGGCCAGTCCAATAAACTGGTATGTGTCTCTGACCATACGGACGTTGGACACGTTATGTGAAGACAATTAATAGCATACACATATAATTCAATTGTACGTATATTATAATTGATTTAATCATTAAAGATATCTCTTACATCAATAGGATCTGGTATTAGGATGATATAACGAATACAGTTGATTCATAGTGTATTATAAAGTGTTTAATTAAATCTACTCTACAAGACACAATCGGCAGAGGAGAGATTTACTCAAATCATCGCAGAATCGACTAAAGGTACGTGAAGTTTACATATTACAACAACATAAGAGTAATAGTAGGATTTTGTTTTTATTTTATTACTAGAATAAAATCAGTATTGAGTTAACAACATTAACAGATCCACTGATGCACCACGTGGTTAATGACTGGTAAGGTACTGTATAAGTATACAAACATAATTTTATTGACAAAAATGATAAGTGGCAAATGTTAAGTGTTCTTATAATATTGCAAAAACAGTATTTTGCTATTTATATTTTCAGAAACGAAAGTGAAATAAAACTCGAAGGTCGTTTATAGTGCATGTTTTCTACGAATACCTATTATATAAACGGAAATTGTAGGTAGTAAGTTGTGTTCTGTTAGAAAATGCGCAATACTATTAAACATAACCCGAATAGAATTAAAATCAAAATGCATTTTTTCGGTTTACTCGCTGTGTTGGGTTTAATAACTTGTGTGGCTGTGAGTACCGAAGAAGTCACCGACTTTAAGATGTGCCGAAGTAAGTTAAACGTCACATAACTGTGGTTTACGACATCTTATGAATTATTATTTTTAGAAACGAAATGCACAATATCAAACTTAAACATTGACCCGTGTCCTCAAGCTCTTGAAGGAAAAGCGTGCGAAATACCTGTTGGATCTAACGCAACTATATTCTTCAACTATATTACTCGTAAGTACATGAAAAAAGTTGTATTTGCTTTTAAACGTTATTATTTATCGCTCGTGTATCGAATGGCACGTGATGGACTAAACACACATAATCAGTACATTTGATCCACCTCGATAAGCCCATAAGGTAAAATTAATTATAATATATACACATATACATCCTTATAGACTTATAGTTTTGTGCACGGTTAAAACGACGGACATTTTTTTTCAAACTATGTTACAGAATTCAGTTCAATGGCTCCAAAAACTAAGATATGCGCCGTAATGGGATTAGTGGACATGGCATATCCCGGCATGGATCCGGACGCGTGCCTTTACATGCAACAATGTCCATTAAAAAAGTCGGTGGAGGGATTCTATTACTATAGTATTTTTTCAGATGATGACTCGTACCCAAAAGATTCTTACACTTTGAAAGTGAAAATTTGGAACGGCGACAAACGCGCAAGCAGTAGAGACGAATGCTGCTTTACATTTAAAGCGAATTTAGTTTGATACAAAATGCGTTTACCTGTACAAATGGTACAAACTACATAGACGTCCCCGTTTATTGTGTACATATAAAACATATTAAATCGATAATCATTTTTAAATTATAATTAATTCTATAAATTATTATACACGTGTATGGCTGCCACGGTTTTCAACAATTTATGTTGTATTTATACAATAGGTATGTAATTAGAATTTAATTATAAATTAAAAATATTTGTGCGTTAAAATTAAAAATTAAAGAACATAAGTACATCTTAACTATTTTTCTCTACTATAAGTCTAACATTTTTTCTACTAAAAGGATAGTAGTATTTTCTGGATTATTACAGTCCGTGGACCGTGAGATTACGGTTATGTTTTCGGATTATAACATTCCGTTTAATTATTTTCCGGCGTTTTATGGCACATCTAAATGATGATAGAATATGTTATATTAAAGTTGTAAGAACTATCTACAAAAAATAAAAATATATTAATAAGGAAGATGTAAACGAAATTAAGGCGTCATAGCTAGACAATTTCTATGCGTTGTTACATTTTTGTTCATTGTTCTACTGAAACTAGATTTGGTTAATTTGATGTTGCTGAGAACATTTTTTTATTGATTTTCTATCTTGACAGCTTTTGAAGCCAGACGTTTTATGTCAATATTTAATAAAATCTAGTAAAGCCACAATCTGTGTTATTATATCAAATAATAATTAGTCCGCATCTTTTTTATAACCTGATTAATGTAATATTTCAAGTAATCACTTATCACAAAAAAGTTAATTTGATATTTGATTTTTATTACAAGGCTAACAAAGACTATGCAATTTAACACATTGAAATATTATGCAATGAACATTGCTACGAAAAAGTGTTTTTGGCCACCATTAATGATACAACTATTACAACCTGTTCATTGAATAAAAACTTTTACTTCACAAATATTTTGATTTTTTTTAATCTTGGAATTTTAGTAATAAAATTTAGTTTTGACTTAACAACAATAACAGATTCGATGATGCACCACGTGGTTAATGACTGGTATTTGGTAAATATTGGGTATACAAACACATTTTTATTCGTCAATAATGATAAGGGTTAAGTGTTATTCAAATATAATGAATAATTGCATAAACAATATTTTGAGATTAAAATTCACAGAACTGGGAATAAAATAAAACTCGAGGTTCGTTTCTAGTACAGATTTTCCATATAAATGGACATTGTAAGTAGTGAGTAGTTTAGTTGACAGATGCAATATTATTTAGCAAAATCCGACTGAATAAAAATGACAATGCATTTTTTCGGTTTCCTCGCCGTGTTGGGATTAACATCTTGTGTGGCTGTGAGCGCAGAAGAGGTCACCAACTTTAAGATGTGTCGAAGTAAGTCCAACGTCACATAACCGTGGTTTACCCTGTCGGATTTCCAGCCAGTTGTTGGCTAGTTATACGACATCTTATGATCTAAAATTTTTAGAAACGAAATGCTCAATATCGAACTTAAACATTGACCCGTGTCCTCAAGCTCTCGAAGGCAAAGCGTGCGAAGTACCTATTGGAATCAACGCAACTATATCTTTCAACTATATTACTAGTAAGTAAATAAAAAATGTCGTTTGCGTCAATTACAATGACGTTTTATTTTTTTTTAAATATATTCTTAATTAACATAAATCGACATTCTGTAGTCATATTAAGGTTGTCTTAGAATTATATCGAAAGATAAGTCAGTTAAAAATAAAAATATAGTTGTATAAATATGGTTTTTAGCAATTATATTGCATAAGTTAGTCAGTTATAATAATAACCAATCAAATTAACATTTATTTATATCTACCCATCGTCTCATGTTTTTTTTTTTTGCCTCCCTAAATTTAACAGGATGAAACAAACTTAACCCGTTCTATTTTTGTGTTATTTCTTCACGTGAATAGCAATCGCGTACTTGTGTAAGTATTATAATTTATTCGTTATTGATTTAGATTGCAGTTTTTACTGATTCTAGATTTTAGTTCTTTTAATCATACATGTTTAAGTTTTATTAATTCATTCCAGAAGCTACCTAAACATTTTTTAGCCAAACGTAAAACTTTCAAATAACAGATAATAAAAGTATCTACTGTCTAGCTTTCAGAAATTAGGATTATCCAGATTTTTGACGGCAAATCCGGTTTTTGGAATTTAATTTCTTCTATCCAAGTTAAATAATAAAGTTATTGATTAGACAAACTTTGTAAAATCTTCTTATGTAGTATATATCACTGCGGGTATTATCATAGCTTAGTTTTAATTCTGGGTCAAGTATCCAATACTTAATCTAGTTATCAACAGAATAGCAAGTACAATTAGCAACTGATTAATATCTTTATTTAAGTAAATAGTCTCCATTACCTTATATTGTTTAAAAAAAAATATTTTATAAATCTTAATTCATTTGTACATTCTTTTGTCCTTCATCGTACTTTTTTTCCTCGAAATAAAAAAAAAAGTTTTTATTATATCTACTGTTAATAAAACACTTGAGAATGGCACAAGATAGGACAATAATTCAAATAAAAATTATCTTTGTTAAAAATGAACACAGAATAAAATATATTTTAATTTTTACTTATATTTAATTTTTTTTTAATATCTACTTAAAAAAAACACTCACGACGAATAATACACAAAGGTATGTGAATAATTAAAATTAAAATTTATCTTTGTAAAATTATAAGTAGAATTTAAATAATATTGATGTATTCTTTTTCTTGTGATTTTATTATGACACAATATTTAAAAAAAATAATTTAACATTTGGTTAAAAAGTGTTATTTTTGGTTATTCACGAAAGCTATGCTGAAGTATCATGATAACATGTAACGTTTACACAAATAAATGACAAATCTTTAATTTGTAATTTAGAGTGTTTCTAAGTAAATCATATCTATTAATAGTTCGCGAATGTTTGTCCATTGACGGGTATTAAACTTTAAGTGCTCTTTGAGATATATCCGTTCTTCTAATCAGTTAGGTAAAAAGTATTGCTGAGCTGCTGTATTTAAAATGAAAAACAACGAACTTGCTAAGACAAATTTATATGTAAACTTTGATTACCTTACATACATGATTGGAGAAATACATGTTATTGATAATAACAGCTTATTCTCAATTATTGATTTATATATAGTTGGTTTACAATACACAACATTTGAGATATATTCGTTTTTGCTGACAATACCGAAATAAAAACAATAAAAGTTTTTTTTTTAGAACTGACTAATAACATCTAACAATAAACTCAACTTATCGTTTTTCGATTTATAAAAAAATATAACAATAGTAACTTCTTTGTATTTTTGTCTAAACCAACATATTTCAATATCACCAAACATAAACTTTGTACAGTATACTTGCTGACGACTTGAAACGTTTTGTAAGAGTCAGTTCTGTTGATGATTGCAAACGATTGAATGATGAAGATCTTGACGCAATTGTTATATGGTCTTCGACCATGCGATTGTCACTCAATACTTAAAAATGAAGTTCTATGTCGTTTTATAGATCTTATCGTCCGATTGTTGTTTTTTTTTAATTTGCAATTGTCCTCACTATTGTGACGTTGTGCACGGTTAAAACGTTGGACATTTTTTTTTTCAAACTATGTTACAGAATTCAGTTCGATGGCTCCAAAAAGTCAGATCTACGCTGTAATGGGATTCATAGATATGGCATTTCCAGGCATGGATCCGGACGCGTGCCTTTACATGCAACAATGTCCATTACAAAAGTCGGTGGAGGGATTCTATTACTATAATTTTTTTACAGAAGACTCGTACCCGAAAGATTCATACATTTTGAAAGTGAAAATTTGGGACGGCGACAAACGCGCAAGCAAAAAAAACGAATGCTGCTTTACATTTAAAGCGAATTTAGTTTGATACAAAATGCGTTTACCTGTACAAATGGTACAAACTACATAGACTTCCCCGTTTATTATGTATACATAAAACATATTAAATCGATAATCATTTTTTAAATTATAATTAATTCTATAAATTATTATACACGTGTATATGACTGCCACGGTATTTCAACAATTTATGTTGTATTTATACAATAGGTATGTAATTAGAATTTAATTACAAATTAAAAATATTTGTGCGTTAAAATTAAAAATTAAAGAACATAAGTACATCTTAACTATTTTTCTCTACTATAAGTCTAACATTTTTTCTACTAAAAGGATAGTAGTATTTTCTGGATTATTACAGTCCGTGGACCGTGAGATTACGGTTATTTTTTCGGATTATAACATTCCGTTTAATTATTTTCCGGCGTTTTATGGCACATCTAAATGATGATAGAATATGTTATATTAAAGTTGTAAGAACTATCTACAAAAAATAAAAATATATTAATAAGGAAGATGTAAACGAAATTAAGGCGTCATAGCTAGACAATTTCTATGCGTTGTTACATTTTTGTTCATTGTTCTACTGAAACTAGATTTGGTTAATTTGATGTTGTTGAGAACATTTTTTTATTGATTTTCTATCTTGACAGCTTTTGAAGCCAGACGTTTTATGTCAATATTTAATAAAATCTAGTAAAGCAACAATCTGTGTTATTATATCTAATAATAATTAGTCCGCATCTTTTTTATAACCTGATTAATGTAATATTTCAAGTAATCACTTATCACAAAAAAATAAATTTGAAATTTGATTTTTATTACAAGGCTAACAAAGACTATGAAACTTAACACATTGATATATTATGGAATAGAACAATGCTACGAAAAAGTGTTTTTGGTAACAAATATTTTGATTATTTTTAATCTTGAACTTAATCATTCACCCGTGTCCTCAAGCTCTTGAAGGCAAAGCGTGCGAAGTACCTATTGGAATCAACGCAACTATATCTTTTTTACTGTGGAACACAACCGGAAAAATATATTTTGTATTCACAACGTTTAAACTAGAAATGAATAATAAATTCAATAATTTAAGGGGCCAAATATTATGAAATATTAAAATATTAGTCAGAAACTTGATAAGTTTACTAGCCACCTTACATACATAAAAATGTATCCCGTGGTGTTGCGGACTCGTACGCAAGCTGTTAAAATATAATATGTAATACCTATGTGAAAACTTAAATAGAGCCTTGCAAACATTCTCCATATTCTTTTTAGTAGTTTTTTAACATGTCCTTGAATTGTAATCATTTATATTTTTGTAATGTAACCGTTGGGCTTTTAGCCCGTACTCATTAAAATAAATAAATAAATAAATATACTTATAATTGTTTTTAAACGACATTATTCATCGCTCGTATATCGAATGCCACGTGATGTGCTATACACACATTATCAGTATAATTGGTACTTCATTGACCCTGGAAAATAGGTAAAATTAATTATAATATATACACACTGAAGGCATCGAACGATACTTACCCGTTTGACATTCGATAGGTTTAGGTTGCAGACTTATAGTTTTGTGCACGATTAAATCGTTGGACATTTTTTCCAAACTATGTTACAGAATTCAGTTCGATGGCTCCAAAAACTAAAATCTGCGCTGTAATGGGATTAGTGGACATGGCATATCCCGGCATGGATCCGGACGCGTGCCTTTACATGCAAGAATGTCCATTACAAAAGTCGGTGGAGGGATTCTATTACTATAATCTTATGACAGAAGACTCGTACCCGAAAGATACTTACACTTTGAAAGTGAAAATTTGGAACGGCGACAAACGCTCAAGCAGTAGAGACGAATGTTGCTTTAAATTTAATATGAAATTAGTTTGATACAAAATACATTTACGTGTACCATTTATTGGCCACACAAAAATAATTATTATCCAATTGCTGTAATCATGTGCTATTATGCTCGTGTATGGCTGCCATCGTATTTCGTTTATAATTGTAATGCTTTTTGTGCGTTACTTTATATCTTGAGTAGTTCAACTCAATATTACAATATTATCAGTATTGGTATTTATGTAATAGGTATGTGATTGTGATTAGAATTTAAATAAAAATATAAAATAATTAATGAAATAACATATTATGTTCATCTATAGTTTTTATTCCGTAATCATTTTAATATTTTTACTATTAAATCCCCGCAAGCAAACCAAAAAATATTAATAAGGAAAGGGTAAACGAAATTAAGGCGTCATAGATTGGCAATAATTATTCGTTGTTACGTTTTCGTTTACTATTCTACTGAAAGTAAGTTTGTTTAATTTGATCTTGTTAAGGGGACGTCGCACCTCAACATAATAGCACCAAAATAGTACTTTTGTATTTCAATTGGTATGAAGTCAGGGACAATGCACGCAGAGATATAATTTATAAATTGTTTGAAAGATGAGAACTATGCTTTGTTGGAATTGGATTTTAATTTTAAGATATATACATTTGAATAATTAAAAAAATGTCCTTTCTTTATGCCATATTGTTCCATGTCCAAACCAACTATCGAAAATTTGTTTCCAACAAAAACATAGAAAGAGTTCTCAACTACAACATTTATAGTTGGGTTTTTTTACTCTAAACCCACCCAAGAAACCGTGTTTTTGGAATTAGAAAACTATGTTTAGACGAAGAAAATATTTTACATCGATGACAAAGATGCTGCGATAGTCAGAAAAATATGTAAATTAACTGTCTAAAAAAAAATTCTTATTACTAATCTAATAATTATAAATTACAATAAATTTACAATTTAAGCTTTAATTGAGATTTTGCAAAAAAATTGCCTATACCCAACTCCTTAATAAATAGCGGTACGACGTCCCCTTACGAACATTATTTTTATTCGTTCTTTTATCTTGACGGCATTGACCATTGACTACAATTATCATGACCCTAGAAGTCTGACGTTTACTGTGCAGATTTTGATAAATCGAAGGAAGTATTAATCTGTTTGATTATATCTCATAATAACTAGGCGGCGTCTTTTTTATGACCTGACCACCGTAATATTTTAAACAATCACTTACTACTGATAAAGAATTAATTTGAAATTTGATATTTATTACAAGGCCAACATACTAGGTGAGTGCCTTTATAATTAAAATACTTTGAAACTTAAACCGCTGAAAAAATATGCAATGTTCTAATGCAAAAAAAACAGCTCATTCTGACAGCGTTGAGCATTGACTACAATTTAATGTTTTTAATGCTACAAAGAAGTGTATTTTACAAGTATTTTTGGTCACCGTTAGATATAACTATTACCATCTATCCATTAGACAGATTAACGTTAAAAGCTTCCACTCAACAAATGGTTTGATTATTTTTTATCGTGGAATTTTGTTTTTATACAGGGTCCGGCAGTGAAACGGGATGATTTCAATACTTAATTACTATTTAATGAATGAATAAATTTTAATTTTAATTTTAATAAATATAAAGTATAAGAGTTACAATTTTATATTCAATACAAAAAAATACTATTTTGTATGTACTACGTTTGCCAAATGTACTACTAAAATAAAGTCAGTTTTGAGTTAACAAAAATAACAGATCCAATAATTTACCACGTGGTTAATGACTTTTGAATGTATTAAGTATACAAAGACGATTTGATTGTCAACAGTGATAAGTGTTATTCAAATATAATGCGTAAACAATTTTTTGAGATTTAACTTTTAATGAAAAATACTTTTTTTTTTAAATTTATACTTTTAAAATATAATCTTTTTTTTAAATAAATAGGTACCTAGTAGTAGTGAATGACGAGTATATAAGAATAGTACATACTTGAGGGTTAAGTATGCTCTAAAGTACTCGTATATGTGATTATATAAGTGTCGATAATATTTTAATACTGGTGAGTCGTTTCAAGTACAGATTTTCGACGAACACTCAATATATAAATGAACATTGTAAGTAGTGAGTAGCTCAGTTGGCAAAGACAATACTATTAAGCATAACTCGAATAGAATTAAAATCACAATGCATTTTTTCGGTTTCCTCGCCGTGTTGGGATTAACAGCTTGTGTAGCTGTGAGCGCAGAAGAGGTCACCAACTTTAAGATGTGTCGAAGTAAGTCAAACGTCACATAACCGTGGTTTACCCTGTCGGATTTCCAGTCAGTTGTTGGCTAGTTATACGACATCTTATGAATTATTATTTTTAGAAACAAAATGCACAATATCAAACTTAAACATTGACCCGTGCCCTCAAGCCCTTGAAGACAAACCGTGCGAAATACCTGTTGGATCTAACGCAACTATATTCTTCAACTATATTACTGGTAAGTAAATAAAATAAGTTATTTGCGTCAGTAATTAATTGTCACAATGACGTTTTATTTTTTAATATATTACTAATTAACATAAATCAACATTCTGTATCATAAGGTTATCTTAGAATTATATTAGAAGGTAAGCCGACGTAAACAGCTTAAGTAGGGATATCAAATAAATTGTAAACAAACTTAGAGTTGGTTTTATAAAAATGTTAAAACTTTAAGTAAATAAGTAAACTGGGATGACTTGCCGAAACTTAAACATTAGCAATTTGTATTAGGTAACAATGGCTTTTAAATAACAATTATAATTGGCAATTATTATTATTTATACTTAGTATTATATCATTTTAAAGCCGCAGTGGCTTTTGTGAACTTCCGGATTCTGGGTTAATTAGGATCCTAATAACATACATACATTTTCAGTTTAATTTAAAATGTACAGATAACAGCAAACGAAACGTACACACACCTTTATCTACTTACTATAATCACTGCGTGTATTATCATTGTTTAGTTTTTTTTCTAGCTCAAGTATCGAATATTTAATCTAGTTTCCAACAAAATAGCAAACACTACTAGTAAACCGCTTAATATATTTTTCAAGTAGATAGTCTCCAGTATCTATTATTGGTTAAAAAAAAAACAATTTAAATCTTAATTCTTTTGTACACAGTTATTTCACTGTCAATAAAACACTTAAGAATGACACAACATAGGTCAATAATACAAATTAAAAATTATCTTTGTAAAAATCAAAGTAGAATTATTGAAAAAATATTGATGTATTCTTTTTATTGATGTTACATGATAACACTATAAATTTTAAAAAATAATTGAACGTGCGGTTAAAAAGCTTTATTTTTGTTTATTAACAAAAGCCATACACCGTATCATGATAACTCATCATTAATGTTTGTCCATTGTTGCGTATTGAACTTAAGGGCTCTTTGTGATATATTCAATAATTTCAATCAGCTAAAAAGTATTGCTAAGCTGTTAACAATAAAAAAACAATGAATTTGCAAAGTCTAATTTAAATGTAAACTTTGGTTACCTCACTTGGTTGCAAAAGTCTTTTGTTAAAAAATGATTGTTTTACCTAATTTTTATAGTTTAGTAGATTATTACTGACTATGCGTTTAATTTAAACTAAGTGTTGATTTTAAATCCGAATTGTGCACGATAGGTATGTGTACTATAATGATTGGGATTGATTAGGCAACCTAACCTTGATAGATAAAACTACACAATAGCGTTTAGATAGGCAACCGTTTCGCGAGTTGCGCCATGCCTTGTAGGATTTAGTTAAGTGAAAAAACAACCGAAAACTTTCCCGGGTGTTACCGAGAAACATATAACTTTCTTAGGTATGATTTTGTACATTTTAGTACATAGTGAATGTTACACAAACAGAAGACGTAGTCGTCTTCATTTAGTCGTCACATCATCGTCGTCACAATCATTACTAACAGTATAATACTGGAGTTAATAAAAAACCTCGTGAAAAGTGAAATTGTTTCATTGTTGTTGATGATAACAGCTTATCATCAGTTATTGATTTGTACTTTTGGCTGTATAGTGTATAATGACATTTAAACGCATAGGGCGATGCCTGTACAATACACATCAGATACATACCATATGAGTTGTTGCTAATAGTTTTTATATTAGAACTCGAATCGTTGGCCGATTTATATAATAATATTATAATAGTAATATTGGTCGTGCGTGCATTTTTATCTAGAAAAATATTCACTATCACCGTACAGTAAAACCTTAGTGCAGTATATTTATAATTTTGTTTAAACGGCATTATTCGTGGCTCGTATGGGGCACGTGGTGTGGTCGACACACATTATTAGTATAATTGACTTGGCAAAAAAAGGTAAAATCATTTATTATACCTGGTTGTGAATTGTAATACCCGTTTGACATTCGATAGGTTTAGGGTGCGCAGACTTGTAGTGTATGTGTTGTTCATCGTTAATGCGATTTTCGTTCAAACTATGTTTCAGAATTCAGTTCAATGGCTCCAAAAAGTCAGATCTACGCTGTAATGGGATTCATAGATGTGGCATTTCCAGGCATGGATTCGGACGCGTGCCTTTACATGGAAGAATGTCCATTACAAAAGTCGGTGGAGGGATTCTATTATTATAATATTTTAACACAATCTTCGTACCCGAAAGATTCATACACTACGAAACTGAAAATTTGGAATGGCGACAAACACGCAAGCAAAAAAGACGAATGCTGCTTTAAATTTAACATGAAATTAGTTTGATACAAAATAAATATACCATATTTTTATTGACCACAATACACATATACTTTATATTATGTGCAATATAAAGTATATTATACTATATTATATTTAATTATTATCCAACATTGCTGTAATCATGTGCTATTAAAACGCCTGAGTGTTTAATTTCTACTTGACTAACTTAACGCATATTTGCTTAACACACCAATGCGGCGAACAATCAAATTTTAAACGGTCGACATTATAATTTACTTGTATTTGTTTGAATTTGTTGTACCAATTGTTTTAACCACTTACTACAATATTATGCCCAATTGAGCGATAATCTTCTTAATGAAACATATTTTGTAATCCGTTCGATAGATTTTCTAAGAGTGACAACAATGATCGTTTTTCATTAACCATTCGTCAAATTTGTCTATCCTAATTAATAGTTCCTTTACGTTTCCCTCGAGAGAACGCCTATACGTTTGTAAGTAAATACCGTGGTCACCCAGATAGGGTTTTATGGTCTTTTATGCTATAATGGTGAAAGCGTGATAGCCACCTGAAATCGTTGAATGATACTGAATAATAAATACTGTTATCAACTCTGTAAAAAGTTTTCGGTTGTTTTTTTAAATTAAACATTTTTATAAACAAAATTTTTAATACATAAATCCGAAAAATCAGCTCTTCTCTAATTGCGCCTATGTAACTGAACTATGTCGATCAAATCCGATAGTAATTATTAACTACATATAAAGGATTGCATTTCCTTAGGAAAACCTATTAAATTTTCCGCACAATTACTCAAAGTAAAAAGATAACAGCTATACAGTTATACATGAGAATATAACCACCGCTATCTAGCTACATCGATAGCCTTTGGGTACTGTGGGTTATCGCCTATTAATGAGTCCAGCTGCGTACCATTGTTTCGTTGAGTCTCAGTACACTACGAACGACCATCGGCCAACCTTTAAAATGGTTTATTCCGTCCTTTTTGTCTTGGCATTTGTATCATACCATAATGTTGTCAACGCCGAAGAAATTAGTTTTAAAATGTGCCCAAGTAAAAGTGAGTAAGCCAATTAATTAAGTGTAATGTTTACTAGAACGTTCTGCTCTGTTTAGACCCAAGATGTAAAATTACCAAAGTGAACATTGACCCATGTCCTGAAGCGCTGGAAAACAGACCTTGCGAAGTTCCCCTGGGAATAACGGCATCTATAACGCTTAACTATATTCCTGGTAAGTACATATACCTAGTAATTAAGTCAATAACTTCAACAATACCGACTGCTTGTAGTACTTTGTAAATGTATTGCAATAAAAGATATTTACTTTTTGTTTTCAAACGTAGTGTCTAGTCACATTTTCTGCTTGGTTTTTTTGTGGAGAATTTAATAATAATTTTAAAAACACTCACAATGTAGTAATTGCAGGGAAAATGAATAAGATACAATTTTCGCTAAATATGTTTTATTTAAAATTGTTTCATACTTAATTGTCGTACAAGACGTTTACTATAGTCCCCGTTCGTCCCTATCGACCTAACCCGTTTTTTCAATGCTATTTGAACCAAATTAATATGTGTATGACCTAATCTAATAGGTCATACACATATAATAGTAAAACCAGTAACATGAGAAAAACAAATTCAAATTTCTACATACGGTTTTATTGTTTTGGTAATTTGCATTAAGAAACGATCCACTGAGTTGGAAAAATTACAATATAAAGGGTACAGGGAAAAAACCAGCTAAGTCACTTTTTAAAAATGGCAATTTTTATTATAAAATTCGTTTTGATACAAAACGAATCTGTTGTTTACTTTTAAGCACGATTTTAAACAAAAATATACAATATTTTTAAAAGTTTTAAGTATTTCTTTAACATTTTAAAACATATTTTAGCATTACTTAAACATGTTTTTCTTAGATTAGAAAAAAGTGACTTTGCAGGTTTTTTCCCTGTACCCTTCATATATTGATTAATTAAATAATAAATTACTGCAATATTCTATTAGGCAGAATATCTAGTATGTTGCATATTTTTTAATCAGTGGTTATAAATTGTTTTAACCTCTAATCGCGCAAAATAAACTATCTACTCGAACGCGTGGAATTTTTTTAATTAAAATTTTCATTATCATCCGCAGTCAGATTATGGTAGCCGGTAGGCGATTTATTATAAGAAATTATGTTGAAATTAAGTATATATATATATATGCATTGATTGAGTGTGTTTACAGAATTATCAGAGTATTATTAGTTACAGTAATAGTATATTACAATAATATATGTTTTGTATATTATTATTTATTTTCGATTTGTCTTATTGTCCTCGGACAATAAGACATCGGGATTTAATGTTTTTCAATTACCAATGCGCACTCGAATGCTATATTGCTCGAAAGAAAAGCTGAAATAACTGACACAGTTTTCATTGAATTGGCATTTCAATAGAAAACATACTTTGTGTTAATTAATAGCGTACGAATGTAGTACCTATGGCCAACATAATAGCCTTGCGTGCCTCTGCTGTATACCGACTACAAAACAATATTGTCAACTCCCCGGATGTTACACTGTGGAACGCAACGCGGATTCGATACCGCCGTGGCCTTTTGGACCGTTTATTTACCGAGTAAAAAAAAATTTTTTTTTTTTTTAATATTCGCTCGATTATGTACGGTTTAATGGCCAAAAAAAAAAACCATACTTACAGATGCATATTATTGTCTTACGATTAAGTACGACGTTTAGTACAACCCACGAATGTCGTTCGCTTTCAATGAACGGTATTGTCTTCTTATATAATTTCGGGCTGTAAATCCGTCGAGTCATGCGGGTAAATGGATGTGTTATTATTGTTGAGGATGTTCCTACTTTCGACCGTGTGTTATGAGGTTAGTTTGTGTATAATAATAACAATATAATACAACAACCTTTTTTTTTTTCTTCTTTTTTTCACTTTGACATCTCAATTATTACTATTTTGGTACCACCTGCGTGTTTGTACGGGGATATGCATGCCAAATATTTGCTCGCTAATTTCGTTTTTCATTCGTCCCCAGGCTTAATGACTTTTACAGTTGTTGTTTTTCTTGCTGCCAGTGCTAAATTTTAGACGGATTTCAAATTCTACTTATAATATATGTCATTGTTTTCAACGCCATCATATCTTTATTATAATAATTGCGCGTAATACAGGAAGCTAAAACACGATTGCTGATGATTTGATAACAAACGAAAAATAATACAATACAAAAATTTTTGTATTTCATCCGCGTTCAACGGTCACAAGGTCTATGACAGTTATAGGGGGTCCGGAGGGGGGGGGTGTCTAAGATCTTTGGAGCCTCCTTGGATTGCTGTCCAAAGGATTTGTTTAACTTTTTAAAAAAAAATTGTTTTCTATTAAAATTTCAGATTTCAATTCGACGGTGCCAAAAACAAGACTTTATTCCGTCAAATCGATATTAGACATTCCGTTTCTAGGAATGGACACAAACGCATGCTTGTACACGGCTTGTCCCGTGCGAAGTGGCGTGCCGTCAAGGTACACGTTTCAGCTGCACGTATCCACTTTGTACCCGAGGAACAGTTATCTGGTCAAACTAAGACTGTGGGATGACGACAGCAGGGCTTCCGAAGACGACGAATGCTGTATGACTTTTGATCTTGCACTCGTGTAAACGCTACGCAAAGTCTGACACTAATTTTAGTTACAAAAATATACTCCATTAAAAATTATACCAAATTATAGTATGTAAATATAATACCTTATGACAACACTACAGTGGTAGTAGTACTCTTTGTTCCATACGATAAGTATACCTACCTACCGTTCGGGCCAGCGCCTTGCTATGATATTTTGGAAATGTTAGATTTGTTGTCATAATAACAGTAAATATTAACATCATTAAGACTTAACATTGATTGACCTCATACCACTTGACCTTTATACGATTTACCACCATTCAGAACTGTTGAATTGGTAAAATATAATATCATAGTAGTAAATAGTTTACCATTATCGTACCGATGAATAATTATGTGTATAAATAAAATGTAATACTCATTAATCGTTTATTGAAGAATATAACTAATTAATTATCTTATATAAGACAATACTAAGTATTGTCAAGTCTTGTCAACAATAATATTTTAACAAAAAATACAAATTATATCATTGTAATGAATGTTTATTTTATAATATAATATAGTATGCATGGTTGAATTTAGTTGTATTATTTTTGTAGTCTGGAAATGACGTTGAGTTATATTTTATTACTCCTAGCAAGTCATTTTATTCTATTTTATAAAATAAAATATGTATACATTTTTTATTGTTTCTACAAACCTATTTGACCTACGTGGATATGCCTGTATCTCGACAACCCACGTTTAGATAACATTTTAAAAATTATGTAAGAGGTCAGATCAAAAAATCAGAAAAAACAACAAAAAAAACGATTAGGTTCACACTTTCAAATCAATTTGTATAGAGTTATAAATATTCTGTGTAGCCAATTAGGTCAATTGTATTTTTTTTTTATTGTTATGTTAAAATATTTGTAACGACGTTAATCGTGATAAAGGTGCAAACAATATTGTAATTAAATATATAAATAAAAGTATTTCTAAAATTAATAAGGTATCAAAAAAAAACTGATATGATCTTCGCAATTTAACATTTATTATGAAAACATTCGTAACATAAACAACAAAATTAATCAATTAAAAGCTCAAATTCCTCCATTTATAAATACGACGTTATTATTTTTGGCTAACATCAGAATTAGATTTAAACGACTATTTAACTTATCGCTTCGATAGGAGCAGCCACACCAGCTGCATTATCAAGATGTGATGGGGTTTTAAGAGCTATTCGCAATAAAATAATTTCTGTTCATAATAATATCGTTGAAATTTGAAATGTTATTTGTACTTGTAAAACTATACGATATTTATTGCTGGAAAATGTGCGCAAACTATTTTGATGTTGTTGAATTTTCATTCGACAAAATATTATATCCTACTGCTATAATTTTTTCGTTTGGAGACTTCATCGCAATTCATTCTAATATATTCTTATTCGCAGACGATGCAAAAATATTCAAGAAAATCAAGAATCTAAAAGATACAGAAGGTTTACAAATTGATTTGAATAATATCCAAGACTGGTGTACTAAAGACAACACTATTATCGCTGGACATAAATAAATATATCAATTTATCTTTTTCGCTAAGAAAAAAATCCCATCATAGTAAACTATTATTTAGATGATCTAGAAATACAAAGGTCAGACACTGTAAATGATCTTGGTGTTCATTTTAATACAAATTTATCTTTTAAAAACAATATATTTATACAACTAGGCTTATTAAAGTGTACATGTAGTGATTTTCAAGACGAGACTTCCTTAAAATTATTATATTGCTTATTGGTTCGCTCACAATTACACCACGGTTGTCTTACTCTAACTCTTCAGGTCAGCTTCAAAAGTTATCTACAATTCAAAATAATTTCCTAAGGTTTTTTTTTCATTTAAATTCCGCCTATTACTCGTAGATTCTAATCATAAATAAATTATCACACCTATGCTCACTGATGTCATCTATACTACAATGTTAATTATATTATAATATATCCTACTCGAATAATTGTAAAAAACACGTTATCTCTTAAATTTGTTTCTTGATAAATTCTGAAATTGTATATTCTTTTTCCCTGTATTATTTCATACGTTATATCATTATATTGTAATATTTTTTAAATACTTACACCACATGTCACTCTACCATACCTATATAATATTATGTTATATCATATTTTATTTTATTTACCGTAAACTGAACATATTATTATATTGTAAATTGAAATACATTTCCGTCATTAAAGTTTATTACTATAATAATTACGCTGAAATAAATAAATCCACCAACATTATTGGTTATTTCTATAAGAAAATATAATTACATTTACAATTGCCACCAGGCTAAACCATCTTGAATAACATAATATTATTTGTTTATCAGGTAATCGTTATTTATTACCTATAATGTTATGCATGTAGGCCTATACACAAAACACTTTAATTGTTATGTGGTTTTTTTTTAACTTTTGGCGAATCGGTATGGGTTTTTAAAATTTTTTTTTTTATATAATTTCATTCCGGTACAGACGAAAGCACAAAGCGCCCAAATCTAAGATCATATAAGCGAGCGAACGACGGTTCCCCGACGATGCACGTAAATAAAGGTGTGTGTGATACAGGAGATGCACTATGGCGGCGGCAAACTGTTTTTGCGCACAATAATCGCCTCGTGAAACAATTGATTTTTAACGGTCCGGAAAGAGAAAAGTTTAATGATCCTTTGAGCGTCGCCCCGGGCGTCCAAAACGCGACATAATAACAACGATTAATTAAAAATCGCTGACGAACGGTGTGCGGCGCATATTTGGGTCGTTGTATATAAGGTGACTTTATCTGCCGGATGATTGTCAGACGTTTGCGCGAAGTGTACGGTCGAGCACCGACGCTCTTCAAAACATGAATAACATGAAAATTATTGATAACAACAACAAAAATAATAACATGTGTTTCCGTGCAATTTGCCTGCTGACGGCACTGGCCGCGTGCTCCGTGTGTTCCGCGGCCGCCGTCAAGTTGGACGACTTGAGAACCGAAAAGAGTAAGTACCTACTGTGAGTAACACTAACGCTGCCACCACCATCACCACCTTCTTCTTGTCGACTCGTTTACCCGGTAATAAACAATGTTGTCCGCTTTCGAAACGGTCAATTTCCGTAAATAATTGCCATATGAATTTTTTTCCTCTTTCCCGAACCCCCCCCCCCCCATCCCGTTCACCTGCTGCTGCGTAGAAATGTGTATAAAGTTTTTTTTTAAGTCTGGTTTTGTCTGGAAAGGCGATCTCGCGGACGGTCCTTCCGGCTTAAACAAACAAGAACACGCTATAATTTCAGACCTGTTATATCAGAATATATTTAAACCAGATATACTGAGTAAACCCAACAACGTAGCCTCGGCACGAGCCACGTCCAGACCGGCTTCCGACGGTGTGCCGATGGCTAAGCACGTCATCAACAACAGCAACAAGCCGGCGCCTTTGTCTGACGAAGAATCGTTGAAGACCCGGGCAGTCGTAGCCGACGTGAGCGGCACCAAAAGCGCGTCCGAAAAACGAATAGAAAAATGCAAAGAGAAATGTCCGGCCAACGTCAAAGACTGTTGTCGAAGCGCCATCCAAGGTAAGGACAAAACATACAAGGTGTAGGTGGAGACGTTGCCGTCGAACAGATAAATGTAGATAAACAAATTTCGAATATTATTTATTTGTTCAAAGTCTAATATTACAGTTAAGCGTACAACAATAATGATTGACGTACTTAAGAAAATTGATTACAAACAAAATAACACACTTATATTAATACATGAACAGAATATAAAACAAAAGTTTGATTCTTTTTAGTAAAAGTAAATATAATTTTGTTTTTTGACCGATGACAGGCCATAATTAAAATCTAAAATCTCGATAAAAACCGAATTTACAAAAATCTAATTCAAGTAACTACCTATGCCTGTTTAAGCTTAAAATTGACTATTTTTTTTTTATTTACCCAGACAAACCAATTTCATGTAAAAAAAAATCCGGGTTGGCTCTGATCGTAGTAAAAAAAAAAATCGCAAAATAACATTAGATTTAAAATTTTACATTTCAATTTTTTTTTTTTTAAAGAATTATTGTTCAACGCGACAATGAACGTTACGCATTAAGATTATTTTTTCCTGTGCATTATAATTACAGCTTTTCTGTTTGAATGTAGAAAAAAGTTGTCATAACGCCACCGACGACCCCGTGTCGTATTTCGTCAACCCGAGCTTCCCTAACGAGGATTGGGATTCGTCTTTCTGCGACTTCCGCGTGGACATCAAGAACAGAAACGTTTGTCAGTTGAGGTAAGTTCGAGAAATTCCAAGTGTCTTTCACGCGATGGGTACACCATACCGTACTACTTTTGGGTTTAATTGCTCCCGCAGGCTGGATCTGGAAGAATTTTCTCTCAGGGGCCCGCACAAGTACTTGGGCAGCTGTCGCCAAGACCGGTTAATCGTATCCACCACCTTACCGAACGGTATCGGCATATCCGAATTGTGCGGAAACAACAGCGGCCAACACTGTGAGCGACACAATCATATTTTAAATACATACCGCACCTCCTCTTAGTTCATAATCTTAGAGTTACTGTTTCAACTTGTTCTGTATTTCTCGTTCTGCACAGTGTATTTCCCCGTGGACCCGAAGGCCGGAGGATCGTCCGTATCGTTGATGATGATGACGTCACAGTCGTCTAGATACGTGTGGAAAGTGCGAATAACCCAAATCGACTGTCTCGCAGACCCCCAAGCTGTCGGTAAGAGAATACCAGATAATATATAATGACAATATTGCTCCAAGGTTGTCCAAAAACAACTTCTTCTGTGTACAATCGTTCCGACCGTTTTGGTTTTTTTGGACAGCCGGCTAGTATTTAAAGACGCCGATAAAGACCGCATTATAATATTATTATTAAGATTAAACGACACACACGCGATACGTGGTCTCGTTGATACTGTACTTTGTAAAGAACAGCCGATATAGGTCGATGCCAATAATATAATATGCGTATAGGTACGCAACAATAATAGACATATTGTATATAATAATAATTCGGTATTCGTATTGATGACGGTATGAATGAAGAGAAAGAGATAAATACAATTTAAAAAAAACCGACCCACATTAATCGATCCGGATGCGTGTTCGACGGCGTTATTCTCCTTTAGAAATGATAAAAAAATTTTAAAAATTCTATAACTATTACCGTCGTTCTCGCGCGTTGCTCGTTTACATCAATCAACCGCCGCCGAGTCGCGGTGCTGTAAATTATCTTTTGTCCGACTGTTGTTTCTAAACCCAATTCCTCGCATTTGTTAGCGCCTACCGGATGTCTGCAGTATCACACCAGCCTCAGCGGCACCATACAGAGCTTCAACTACGCGGGTGGCATGTACCAGTCGGGTCTAGATTATGCGATATGCATTAAACGATCGGTGAACACTTGCCGGGTCGAATTTCAGCAGGTCGCCGGCTCCACGTTTGGTATAAACTCGCTCGAAGGTAGGCGCACACACACACAACACGGAAGTATACAACAGCCGTTACACGTTATTATTGTTTTCCGCCATACAGGGTCGTCCCTCGAAGAGGGAATCGGTCGAGCTGGAGAGGTCAGCTGCGACCTGGTCACCCACGATTACCTGCACATAGCCGGCGGTATGTTGGACATAGGGGAGGAAATCCTGGCCGCCACCGGCAACGTGGAAGTGTATACTCCCACGGCCGAGAAATTTTGCGGTCGCAGTCTCTCCGGGCTGGCCATACAAGAGTTTGCGGAAAAAATCAAAGTCAACGATCCGTTGGGAGCCCAAGACAACAACACCATCGCCACTCCGGTCACGAGTAAGTCAGACAATAATATACTGTTACACCTAGTCAGTTACCTACCGTACCGAGACCAAAGTAAATTTCAACTACTGTAAGCTCTGTTTCTCAAGTGTCGCCCTTAACAATAACTGTAATGTAAATAATATAGCAGAAAACAACCCTTGATGCTGTTTTCTTAAACTATTATAAAAACGGTAAACGTGTATTTTAAAATAATTGTAACAAAACTGTATTTCGTTTTTGTACTCGACAGCTTATGCGTCCGGACCAATTGTCGTTCGATTCCACACGGACAGTGTTACCGTGAGAGAACGAGATATCGGATTCTCAATAGCATATCAACAACTTGGCACAGGATGCAACAAGAACAAAATCAGACGGTGATTTCGAGTTCCTTCCTCATGTCACGTGTGTGTTCAACATATCATACATACTATTTAACATCGTGCATATCAAAACAATTCAAGAAGAAAAAAAAAACCATTAATTTATTTATTATTTTCCTCGTGTATATTATTAAACTATTATTATGCAAACACGAGTTTATTCATTTATTTTTTGAAAAATTCACTTTTTGTGTGTTACACTCATCATCAAATAAATAAGTCAAAACGTTAAATATTCGATTTTACCGGTAGTTGCTATAATACAAAAACTAGACCTGGATCGATTTGGACCAAGTGTTATGCTCCTAAGCTTACAACACCACTTGTATAAAAAACGGTTCAAAGTAGGTACGAGTAGTAGATTGCTCTAACCTTACCCTAAGTGACAGTTAATAAGAGAAAGGTACAAACTGACTGAAGTATGACACTGAAAATAGAATTTAAACAAAATTGTAAAAGATTTCCGCAAAAAATCACAGGTAATATCCAGAAATCAAGAAATTGTGTTTTTTTTCATATAGACAACAATTAAACCTATTTAAAGCGACTTAACTTGACGGATGAATAGAAAATTATAAAACAACGGACGAATTATTGAAAAAATCTTTGTATAGTAAGCAGTTGACGTTTAAAAAATAGTTAAATAAATTGTTTTTACATTTTAAGATGATGTTTGTTAATTTTATAATAACGTGTTTTTTTTTAATTTTTTTACTATAAAGCCAATTATTAGAAGCCTAACGCATAATAAAATAAATCGTAAATTAGTCTGAACAAAAACAATCTACACACATTTATCATATTTGTATAGTATTCTGATTTCTGAACAAATACACATTTTTAAAAGACCTTATAATATTTATAGTTACTGGGTTATAGAAAAATATATATTCATTGTATTTTACAATACAGTGGAAAAAGGTTTTAACGAAATTCACGAGGAAAACAAATATTGTTTGTTGTCGCTTGTTATTTTTTTTTATTTTTTTTATTGCTGATAGTTTTTTTTTACCTGACTTTTTTAATGGTAATACATTATTTCGGCTGTAGTTATACCTGGTATAAAGTACCTATAAATGAATTATGCTTATAGCGATTTAATTTCACAGCAAGTTCAGTCTACTGTGCTAAGTAAATTATAACATTAGTTTGTAGCTGAAATAGATTTAAAAAGTGCTGCAATACAAGCACAATACGAACTATGTATATTAAAAAAGAAAATTATTGTAGCCCGTAGGTATCTATTCGTTTTATTTTAGGTAAAACAGTATAATATTCAGTATATTGTTCAAGTTTTTTTTAAGTTAATTAACTAATATACCGTACACATGTTTTTAACAAGTATCGAGTAATAGTAGTGTTTTTGACGCAAGTAGAAAACATGGATATCACCGCAGTGGTTGAACCAGCATAAAAAAACACCTGTGTTTACTAACATTGTAAAGAAGACAGCACAACCATTGGCGTTCATATGCTAACGCCACCGCATAATCTAGCACATAATGCTTAAGCTCACACAAACTTCTCGGTTTGCCTTAAGTATACTACCCATATGGGTTATGCGTTTTGTAAGATTCTTTTACGGCTCTATACTGTTATCGATAAGACGTTAACGGTTTGCAAAACAGTCGCTCTGTAATTCTTTTGGTTGTGCTATCTGTTGTGGAAGAAATATAGCAAATTATGAATACACACATCATCATAATGTTGTCCGTGATCGTTTGTACGACGTGTCCTCCTCCGGCCACGATTAAGTACAGAGAGATTATAACGCGTCAGGTAAGCTTGTGATCAATGCGTAAATCATTTTTAATCTCCTAAGAAACGTCAACGTGACGACGGCCAACTCTGCAAGATACATAGTTAATTATTATTTCCATTCATCTTACAGAAAGCGGCGCATAACTTTTTGACGTTATTAAGAAAAATGACGACCACGTTCCAGAAAAAGGTAAAAGTGTCCATAACAGCTAACCGCGACAAGGAATCTCTGGACGGCCACGACCACGAAGAAAGCGACGAATTCTTTTCCCACGAACATTCGATCGACGACGATGTGCGCATGTATTTCATAAACAAGTGAGTGGTGTTTTTTAAAAAACCTACAAAAATACTTAACGTTAACGTGTAGGTACGTGTCTATTTGTTAATAATTTACCGACTCGGTTCCCTGTAAGAAAATATCCGACGCCCAAACCGATATCGGCCGCCAACTTCCGCGAAGTCATACAAAGCGACGTCGCGGACTTACCGCTCAAAGTACTCATAAACGGATGGAGTTCGGACAACAGACTTTTCTATCAAACTCTGATCCCAGGTTAGCGCAAGTCGACCGAGAGGAGTTGCCGATTTCATTGCTATTTTTAACTGTTGCCAGCCTACATAAACCCTTCCGCGCTACTCAAAGTCAACGTATTGCTGGTGGATTGGACGGCTCTGGACCGCGAAAACAACTATCCCAAATCGTCGTTAATAACGGCCGTGGTCGGTCAAAAAGTGGCCGCCATGCTCGGCACTCTGGTGAAAAACCGAGTGATTCAGTCCCAACACATTCACCTGATCGGATACAGCATGGGTGCTCATGTAGCGGCTACCGTAGGGGAAAAACTAAAGACGGGCCTAGGAGCGCCCACCGTCGGTCGAATCACAGGTGGGTACCTACTACGACTACTAAGTATATCCTCGTTAGTCATTACCGTATTGCTCTATGTAGTTCAAGCTCTAAATCGAGATTTTTGTGAAACAGGCCGAGCGGAGTCCGCTCTTAAACCCCATTGTCCTTCTCACTCGCTTAGGTTGGGTATTAACAGCGTGTTTGGATTATGATACATATATACTTACTTACTGACTATACTTGCTTAACTTGTTTCGCATGTGCTTCACGCAGGACTCGATCCTGTGTACCCGTGTGTGGAAGGTTCAGTGGTGGACAAATGCTTGGACAAGTCACATGGCGTTTTTGTCGACGTCATACACACTTTCACCACGCACGAATTCGGCAGACCGCCCGTTGGAACGGTAGACTTTTACCTGAAAATCGATTCCGACTTGAGAACCAAAACGACCAGATCAAACCGTAAGTGTCATTGAATTATTGAAAAAAAACCCAATTTTAAGAGTACCAGACCCGAAATTAGGACGGGGGGTGTGAACGGGTTACTGCGGTTAGGCTTTGAGTACAAGAACGTTCGCAGATCGATATACAGATCTGTATTTAAGTGTAGACAAAGTCAACGGAAATTAAGATTGTACCTACCATCATAAAAGTTGAGACTCGACAAATGTATAATCCTGTCCATTCTACGAGTTAACCAAAAATTAAAAAACTATTTTATTTTGTGGTAGTTGTTTTACTATTAAACCGGTTATTACCCAATCGACTTTTTTCCTAACTGTTCTTATGTGTTTTAAGTGTTGGAAACGAATGAACTGAAAACAGTAGAATTATTTTCGGAATCCATAAAAAATATCAAAGTCGTGCAATGTTGCAATTGGGAAGATTTTTCTTTGAGCTCGTGCAACGATAACAAAGTCATCGTGATGGGTGAACACGCAAATGAAGAGTAAGCCTATTAAAACTCTCTCATACACCAATAATTAATATAGTCAATAATACAGTTGATAATTACTATCAACTATAAAAAACAATACATAAAACAGCGATTCGAAACTAATTTAATTAAGTTGATGTAATAATTATTTTAGATATCGTGGAAAGTTTTACTGTCATTTACCTACAAAAGCTTCGGCGAAAGTAGAAATGTAAGAATGAAAACAATTATTGAAGAATTGAAATTATTTAAGTACATACTACATTGGTCTTATTCTTTGATAACAATTACAAAACTCACACTAAATGCTATTATTTTATATTAAAATTTCAGAGATAAAAAGGAAACGGGTCAAATTTAAGTGTTACTAAATTACGTCAATGATTTATTTTCATAAAAACAAAAAAAAAAACATTTTGTAAAATTGTAAAGTCATATTATTGTACTTGACATATTTGATGTTTATTTACATAAGAAAATATACAATAACAATACAACTTATAGCGGTTTTGACATATAAGGTCCATCCAGCTCGTAACCGAGCTTCCTATAATAGTTTCTAGTACCGACTCCTGAAAAATAAAAATAAACGTAGTTGTTTAGAAACACAATTCATTTTAACAACCGACAAAAAATTGTATTTAAACTATAAATTACAATTTTTACATCATGTAACGGTCGAATAATTATTAACTATGACATGGTTAAACTTGTATTTGTGACTGAATAGTGCATTAAAAATTTAGCTGATCGATGGCAACAATCAAGAATTAAAAACATACATGATGTTTTTATTTAACAATAATAATAACAATGGTACAAACCTGATATAACAGCTATTTTGGTAGATTTGTGTTCGTGAAGAGCAATGCGTTCGGCTTCTTCCATCAACAACATACCGAATCCCTGATGTTGGAATTTGGTAGGGTCCCTCGATCGTACCGGAACGACGCTGCCGTACACGTGGAGCTCTCTGATGATTGAAACTTTTCCTTGCAACTCAGGCCTACATAATAATCAATGTGTCAATAAGAAAATATAAATTTTCGTATCAGTTAACAAGTACAATACCTGAATGAGTTTGTACATTTTCGTAATCGCAATAATCCGATTAAAATATCTTGTTCTGGGTCCTCGTACGACAAAAACGTCTCCCATCCATTATTTGCGACGTAATCTCTTCGTATGAGTTCTATCTAAAAGTTAAAATAACCAACACAAATTATATTAGAGATTCATTGTTCCAAATAAAAGGAATTAAGAATAATTACTACAAATTACGGTTAAACCAAACGTGTAATTCAACATGTAACGTTATAAGTGACGACACGTCTTATTACGAGTGGTTTATAACACAAGTTAATCTGACTACACATATATGTGTTTAACACATACTTCGTAAGGTCGAACTTTATTGTGTATTTCTTGAATGCCGACTTCTCTCGTTCGGACATCGCGGCATTGTAAATTCAGGTCTTTCATACGAGCTAAGGCTAATTCACGTAAATTACCGTGTTCTACACCAGATCTGAAAGTTATAAAAAAAATTTAAGACAAAAGAATAGTAAATTTTGTTGACTCGGCGATTGTAGTTGTAAATGTAACAATATAAATTAAATATAGACTCACGTAACTAATGGCATTGGGATATCTCTTTGCACACGATAAACCCGCGTCCACGGAGGTATGAGACTCAAAATGTGCGCAATCAAGTCGACTAGTTCGGACGGCGAGTAGCTTCGATATCGTCCAGTTCGCCACAGTTCATACAGCCCAGTACCTCTCATGACGAGAGTAGGGTAAATTTTTAAACCGTCAACCCGAAAATCGGGGTTTTCAAAAAATTCCTTAAAACATATTTGTAAAAAGTATAAAATAAAATGTCATATATTTTTAAAAAAAAACTCAATCCAAACGCCAACCTTAAATTGTTGAAAATCTCTTTCTAAATCGACATTGGGCAAATCGGGCATCATATGCGATACTACTTTGAAACCACAATCTTTCGCTAAATTGAATGTTTCACACACAGCTTTAACCGTGTGACCTCTATTAGTATCACGAGCGACATCTTCGAAAACAGACTGAACACCAATCTCCAATCGCGTACAACCGTAATTTAACATGTCGCTCAAATGACGATTCAAACAATAATCTGGTCGTGTTTCTATAGTAATCCCGATGCATTTTACGTTGCTCCTCTCTGAATACCTGTAAAGAAATTAGTTCAGTAAATTTCTACTTACTTTTTATAAACAAGATGTGATAAAAACATCCGAAATTACTTGACTGCTTCTTGAACATTGGAGCTTGTATGGCCTGACAGAGCGTCATGCAAATTTCTAATGAAATAATCACGGTAGTCTTCGGGTAAACTCATAAAAGTTCCTCCCATTACGATGAATTCCACTTTGTCTACATTGTGTCCTAATTGTTTCAGCTGAAAAAAATTAACAATAATTATTATCAAGTTCCATAATATATAATGTAAAAAAATTAAAAGAGTTGACATCGAGAGAAAAGGTAGTATAACAATTTATGTAATGTCAATTCAAGTTAAACAAACATTATGCAACCATATAATTGTGTACTAAATGTTTTGTTTCTATATCTGCGATTGAATGATTTAAAATGATAATGAATGTTTAAACTAGGTTAATAAATAATTCAAAAATACTAATCTATATGAAAACGTTTACCTACCTGTTCAACTCTGTGACGAGTCTGAACATACGGATTGTAATGCGCTCGTATGGCTCTCATCGAAGTTGGTTCATAACCAGTATATGATTGAGTTGAGTATTCAAAATCAGAATCGGGACCTCCAGGACAGTAAACACAAATATTACCAGTCATATTGATATGAGGACATCGGTGAGGTTTACACATCACTGCAACAATGGCTACCTACAATATGAATTAATCGTAAATATTAATTACATAATATATTCAAATCTACACCCACCCCACTAGCAGTTCGAACTGGTTTCGCCTTAAGTTTGGGATACAATAGTTTTTTAGCATCATTAGGAACGGCCGATATGATATCCACCAATCGGGGAGACGACTTTAAACCGTATTTTGAAGATATTTGGGTTTTTAATTTGTTTAGATTAACATCCCGATTTTCTTTTTGTGCAGTTAACAACTTTTGGATGATTTCTGCTACGGTTGCCATCATCCGTTCCTCATGGTTCATCTTGGAAATGTTTTCTAAAACATAAAATAATCAACGTTTACATAATATGTGTTTTTCCCATACCAAAAAAAAATAGTAACAACTAAATAACATTAAATTTTAATTTAGAAAAAATAAATAAATAAGAAAACTGCACGATTGGTATATTATTTCAATTAAAATTTAAAAAAATAATTGTTAGATTATCGTAAATAATTTAGAAGGTTTCTCGTGACGATATTGTTGTGATATTTAAATTGGAAACTTAAATTCTTAATACCACACATTACCTTCGGCTATTTCGTTCATTTTTGAAAACTGGTAATCTACTTCTTCACCTAACAGTGGCACTCAATTTAAACAACATCAAATAAACCTTAAAAGGCCAGTACTTAATAAATAAAAACTTGGGTATATTTAATATATCTAACTATATTATAAGTTATAACTATATTAAATAGTAAATACACAATTATCATTGACTTGGGAATCACCACGTGAATAACAACATTTATATTGATATACTGATAACAAATATGTGATAACATTTATTTGATAAAGATTTTTTCAAGCCAGCCAATAATAGAGATAAGAGCATACAGTGAGTCCCAAACCACACAATAGATCCCAAACTCCCACGACTTGAAAGCAATTACGCCGTATACTGACAAGTTAACAACTTATTTGAACATTTATGTCTTCAATTAATTATTAATTATAAAAAAACATTACTTCGTGCACCGCATGATACAACTATAGTTAGTTATAACATGCAATAGTTGTTGTTCGGTACGTTTGCAATTTTTTTTTTAATTCTGAATTATTTCCTTACCAAAAGATTCAAACGTGGAATACTATTAATTAATGTTGATTAATCTTTATTCTAAAAGAAGTTAATCCACTTTGGTCTGTCTTCAATAATCGTAAAACAAATAATTGGATAAGCAATGTTATCTACCTTGTGGATAACTATTGCTTTTGGAATGGCAATAGCCATTGGCATTAGTATGTATCTACAACATTTATGATAATTTTTGTACTTAAAAATCGTCATTAGCTTATTGTCTTAATTACTGATTAGGTACGGCGTTTGTAACTACAAATTTTAGAAGCATACAACATAATCATCAACGTGACAACAGCGATGATGAGTTTTTTGACGCACCAAGCGATGAAGAAAGTCTTGACAATGATTCTCCCCTTCCACCAGGATGGAGATAATTAACTTTACATTTTTTATACCTTACTTTCTTTAACTTAAGTTTATAAAATGTCTAAATTTACATATAGAATATGAACAGCAATAAAATTTGAACAAAACTAATAAATTAAAATAAATAGTAATTTAAGAGTTTACTAAAGAGGGATAGTTAGTTTTATTTATATCTTTTCGTACTATAACTGGAAGTTTAACAATAAGTTAAATATGTTTTATACATTTGTTATATTTAATGATAGTTGTGTCGATTACTTCAATAAAATGTTGTATGATCAATATTGCTGCTTTATGTTAACTTATATAGATTTCTGCTACTCGGTACTTGAGGTAAAAATTTACATTTTTAAAAACACAATGCCTAAAATATATGTTGCTGACTAAATAGCGAGAACTTGAAAAGGCAATAAAAAATATTAACCCATCAATAATGCAATTTTTTTATAGGGTTCACCTTTTTGTTTATTCTCAATAGAAAATATTTTTTTTTTATGCAACCTATTATAAATATGTAAATGGAAATGTAGTTTAAAAAATTAACAATTGTTTTTTTAATTTTATATATCTTTATTAATCAAACATCAATATCAACAATAATAGTTAATAAGCTGGAGTTAAGTATAATACTATAAGAATTTTCTGACTTTTAACAATAAAAAAATCATACTATTTGTTAGGAATGGAATAATATAAATTTATAACTTTTATTTTATTTTAAATAACATTCACAATCTGTACATAAAGAAAAATAAATAATAAGCAAATAGGTTAACAATGTAAATAATGACTTGGAGATTACGAGTAGGGCAGCTATCTAGTGATAGGACCCTTAAGAGATTTATAACTTAACTAACAATATAAAGGCATAGTATATGTAAGTATCGAGTATGTAAAATGGAATACAGTAAACAATAAAAATAAAAAATAAATTCTCAAAATTCGCCTTCCAAATTGTATTTAATAAATTATTATTTTCAGTGATGTTTAAATGGTTTTAAATTTACAGATTTTCTCTAATGTTTTGCAACACAATAACATGGTGACTTCAATAAATGTTTTTACAATAAGTTTATACTTATCATTTTTTTTTTATCAATATATCAGCTGCATTTATCTATTTTACAATATACATATTAATGCCAACCAGGAGGTAATTGTCTTTCTGGCTCAGTAGATATAGTAGAGTCAGAATTTGTCAAAGTTTTTACCGATTTTGATTTAGCTTGAGATTTTGATGGTGATGACTGTGAGGAGGACGTCGAGTTTCTAGGAATTGATGATGAAGACGATGAGTGTCCAGGATTTTCTTGGTTTTGTGAATTATAATACGTATACAGGGCTGCTCCTTTAATAGCAAGGAAAAAATAAAATAATAATAAAACTAGATTATTTTCATTTTAATTTCTCATACCAGCTCCAACTAGTAAACCAAGTCCAGTTCCTATTGCTGCATATTTCTTTGAAGAACCACTATCGTTTTTGTCTCCCATTTTAGCACACCTTTGGATAAACATGTCGACATTAATTGTTATTCTTAAGGTTTTATATCATAAATACATTGTTAGACATGCATAGCCAGTTATCGTTGACACTAATAGATGTCTCGTGGGGAGTCTTGGAACACTTCGGAACTGAGTTTATCTAAGCTGAAGTGTTGACGATTTGAAAAAGTCTAGTTTTCAGATAGATAATAGGATTTCATATAATAATCTGGAGATTTTGCAGGGACCAAAGATATGTTTTTCATTTGGAAAAGGTACCTAAAGGGACAATAATTATTGTTGGATTATTATTTCATCGGCAACATTAACGGGCCACAATGAAGTTTCAAAATTAATTGTACGCCATTGATACACTATTGTTTTAGTCATTTTTCGTTTAAACATCAAATCGATTCAGCTATAATTTGCTACTTACGTGGACGTTAACACACACTTGGTACAAGTAAGTCGTGACACGGCTACAGTATTTATGTTGACTGTTAAATGTTAATACTTTATTATTATTGTTATTATCAGAGATTAAATGAAGTTTCATTTTGTCTGTGTTATCACAACAAACAGTACACACCGTTGCCGCCAAGAGCGCTAGTATCGAAACGGGATCAGCCATTTGAGAAAGATAACTACGCATAAAAAATGTAGGTCGCCTTATTATGTTAATTACTATAAATTACTTCTGTAATTATTACTGATTACTGGTCGCGAATGGGATTTCACACAGACATTGACCGTTAACATTATTTTAATTGTATATTTATAGAACGAGATAGTTAATTAGGCTATTTTTTGAGAGGCGTTTACCTACGAACGCATTATCAATATTATTGTAATATTAAAAATTACATTATAGTAATATTATTACATTATAATAATATCTGGGTAAGCTCTGTTATATATTCATACAGAACCTTGAACGAATAAAAATAGTACAAACGAGAATGATAAGCAATTGACATTTACTTGTTTATAAAATATTTATATATATACCGACATATTTATTTGGACTTTAAACATCTATACAGCTTTCAAGTTCAGAGTCATAGCCACTTTAATTTTGCCACTTCCACACTAGAAGACAAAAACTATCTCTTTACGACAGTTCTACAAGTTGAATTATGTCGTTTTGATTTCAGCTTCAACAAAAGCTCTTATGTCTTATGCCCAAACTATTCAAGTCTGTGATCACAGTCGCTGTCTCGAAACGACAATCATTTAGTTTTATTTTACAAAGCAAGAAGTTTATGAAAAATAATAAAACAATTAAAAGATGTGAAAATTACCAACGAGACCACAATAGTTTGTTAAGTTATTAATTATTTGTTTTTTTTTTGTGGATTATCATTTATACACAGTTACATCTCATAATTGGATTTGTTTATTACATACGAATAAATTACACAAACGTTCATTATAATAATATCAGTGTTATAATATATTTTCAATGAATGTTTAAAAATTATACAATGCGTGACATGAATCATAATCTGGATGTTATGTCAACAAATAACATTATTCAAATAATAATAATAATAAAAAGAAATGAATTGCTAATTTATAACACAAAAAAAATATTACACTCCAGAGAAAAAAAATTAATAATAATAAAATAATAATAATTTATAACTACACAAATTTAAATTGCGACCTAAGTGACCTTCTATTTGTCTAAGCAGGCTATTTATGTTCAAGTTGGATCTATGTGAACACTGAAAATTTTATACATTCAAAATTGGTCCATTTACACATCATAAAAACCTAAAATAAAATATTTTTTTTTACCCATATTTTTTTTTTTATATTAAATATAATATAATTATTATATATTCTTAATTTAGTATTTTTTTAAACATTTATTTTTAAAATTTTTAGCTACATTATTGTACTGAACTTTAATGTATACATCCTGATATTATTAACTCTGGCGTCTATATAATTTGTTATTAGGAATTTCAAAAATAATTATAATTAATAATAATAGTATTAAAATTGTTATTATTATTATTATTAACCTATAACAACACGTTTTAAAGCAATATTATTGGAATTATGCGACTAAACTAAAGTATAGTTTTATAAATTTAAAATTTAAACATATTACACCGCCGACCGGGGCACACAAATAGTTATCGTCAAAATAAAAAAAATTCAGAGAAAGACCGTGGTAGAATTAAGAAATATTACATGATAGTCTGAAATCAATGGGCAGAAATGGAGAAGGCATTGGTTCAATAAAAAAAATTAAAAAAAAAAAACAGTTATTTGAATGACTAGATGTGCAAGTGAAAATAAAATATAGTGGTCACACAGATCTGAGAGCAAGCTCGGAGAAGGATGATGAGAGTCATCGGATTGATGGAAATACACGTAACACAAATGCCCCTCACAAAAAAAAAAAAAACTAACATAAAATCGACTAAATCGTTAAATATAAAATAATAATCTAGGATACAATAGAAGAGGTAGTAGACAACATTAGATGGAACGCTTTTGTTATGTCAGGGCAAATTATCTTGTTTTTTTTTTTGTATTAAACGACGGGTCGTTCAAACAATATACATTGTTTTTTAATAAGACCCGTCCTATAAAGTATTATAATAAGTCATATATATAATAATAATGTTATTATTTTATCCAAAACATTTTCCAGTCAAAATTTGTTTATCTAAGAAAAAAAAAAAATACCTTCAATCACAATGAGTACATTGCGTAATAAAATAATAATAGTAATAATAGATGTAGTTTTTGCTACGTAGAGCTGCCGACGCTCTTGGCGAGTACTCTGTTTGCCGAGAGGCAACGAATAAATTATAAACGTTAATATTATTATTATTCTTATTATTATTTTTTATTATAATATAGAAACACGCTGTGCTTTCGAAGCGGTGGCCGCACTGTTGACTCGTTTAAGTGCGTGACTTTGGCCGAATGACTTTTTGTCACAGGGATTGTTTCTTCAGCAAACGCTTTTGCCGGCAGTCGTACACTCGGCGGCAGAAAAAGATCAGATCAGCCGGAGCGCCTTCGGCTGGCAGCTGTCTAGCTCTCGGGTTAGCCTCTATCAACGGCGGCACGACGGCTTTGCACAACACCAAATTCTCTTGCACCGATTTCATGTGCTTGCGGTACCTGTAACAAATGGTTATATTAAAAAAAATTATTACACATAAACACGGGAGTATTCAAAATAGGTGCAAAGGTCGAAAATGGGAAATTAGATAACAATATTACAGGAATTTTTATAGTAACCGCGTTTACACCGCGTAGTCGGGGTCGCTAGAAATTACATCGGCATTGAACTCGTTTTACTTAATCACACTACAATTAACCTTTACGGATAAAAAATACACACGCGTTTCTCGAATGGGATTTTTGCCACGCCAAAGTACTATACTTTTTAGCTTCGATGCGAGATGGCCAAGAAGCTATTGGTTTTTTAACACGGGAATGTTGTTGGACTGGACACAAGAAAATAGAAATTTCATGTCGCCATTTTCGCGTTACACTTCAATCGGAGATAAGAGATAAGAAATTAATGATTAAAGATAAAAAATAAATGATAACAGACAAAAGTGATAAGAGATGACATATCCACGATTAAATGAGCGTATTTTCGCGAAGGTACCAAAACAGCAAACGGTTTTTTGCTGTTTACCATTTTGGCAATGTTTTAACGAGCTGTTTAATAAAATGTTGCTCTCGTCAGTAAACAGCTTAATCCAGCAGTTCGTAATGTTTGGTACCTATGAAAATGCAAACAATCCTTATCAGTCTAAACATATTATCCCAGAACGCATCAGTAAACATGTTCGCATTAGGTACTACCGTGAAAATACGCTTAATGTTTTATGTTTATCCTTGGAGCGGAGAAAATAAGAAAACACGTATGTCATACCTGCAATATTCGTTGAAAGTCAACACGTAACACCGGTCGTCTATGCACGCCACGCTGTTCACGTCCCTGTGCTTGGAGGCGAACAACTCGTCGGGCATGTCCGCCTTTTGTCGGCCCTGTTTCGTGTGCTCGGGCCTGTAGTACCACATCAGAGACATCATCATTTCGCCTGGGAAAACCACGCCGATTATAGCAAGCAAAACAGGTACACAAGTTCTGACGTCTAAAGAACTATATTATTATAACAGCTCCACTCACCGTTGACCGGATCTTCCCACAGGTTGGAGATTTTCGCTATGAACGGCAAGTCGTTTTTGCGAGAACCCGACTTCAGCAGTACACAGTCCCGGGCGTAGATAGTGTCGCCTTGCATGTGACGCATACAAGGGTAACATTTCCTCAACACCGGTACGTCGTCGTTCTGTACAAGAAACACAACGCCGTTAACAACACACATCCTCGCGTTTACTTAATGCCACCTACAGATTTCACCGACCGCTCGGATAAGTGCCATCGTGTTGTGGCAAATGGATAAATTATAATTGAAATGTTAAACACAAACTTAAAAGCCAAATACTTTAGAGGGGAATCTGTCGGTGAAACGGAGCGGCGGCAAAAATTATTTAAATGACAATACTTGCCTCTAGGTACACCGGTCGTTTAGACGGTTTTCCCTGCCACATCCAACCGTTGGACCATCTGGGCGCCAAGTCCTGTTTCTTAAGTCGCGACAGCTGAGCGAATTCCTCGCACATTCTCAGGTCCCTTTCTCGTTTCATGGCGTCTGCAAAATCAAACAAAACCGACGGTTCGGTGAAAATGTGAAAAAGTAAAAACAAATATAATTTTTTTTATACTCACCGGTCAACTCTTTCTTGTGGTTTCCGTTCTTCCGGTCTTTCCGGCCTCTCTTCGTCTTTTTCGGTACGTTTTTCTTCTTGACAAACGTCTCGCCGACCATTTCGTCAGCGTCGCTCTCGTCGGTCAACGCCGACCGCACTATCTGTTCGTTGGAATTGACACATTCGACCGGCTCGTCGCACTTGTCGTCGGTCGCAGACGACAAGTCGGCGTCGTCGTTTCGTTGGACCGACGGCGGTCGGCCGTCGTTGTTGTCGGCGGCGGTGGTCGTCGATTGGATTGTCTCTCCTTCGGCGTGATCGTGTTGCTGCGGTTCGTCTTGGAACTTGGACTTTTTCGCAGAAACGATTTGCATCGGGTTGGGTTTCTTCCTCTTGGCTGATCCTTTCATTATCGCTTTATTGTTATCATCGCCGTCAACGTTGTTGTTGTTGTGGTTGACGGTCGGGTCGCAGTAAACAGTCGTTGTCGTCGTCTCATGGTACTCCCTCGGCTTTGTCGACAAATCGATGGTGGTCTGCTGTTCGTCCACCGATTCGCGGTCCTCGTCGGTCGTGTCCACCTTGAGCGTGTAATACGAGGCGGACACGTCGTCGTCGACCGGTTCGATTTTCGGCACGATCTCCGGCTGGTGGTCGTCGATCGGTTGTTCCAAGCCCAGCACGGATTGGCTGAGCACCTTGCCGATGGCCAGGAGTCCGGTGGCGTCGCACTTTTCTTCGGTGGTGTTCCACTCGGACGTGGGATTCTTGGCGGCCAACATGGCCGGAGACTGAGGCGCCAGGTGTTGCACGGAAGCCCTGGCCGGGCTCAGCGGGCTCATGCACCAAGGAACTTGTTTGGACGGGCTGCACGACGATCCGGACCGAGCTGGTCGGGACACGCCGGCGCTACCCCTGGCCGGGCTGGGAGGCCCTAGGGCCCGGGGCGGCTCTTGTGGCAGCGCCAGTGCCACAGGAGGTAGCGTAACGACTGTGGTAGAATGGTGTTTCGGCCCCTTACTGACTGCACCAGTAAGCGGGCCAGTATGGACGTTTTTTGGATTGGGACACGATTGCATTGGGCACGGGCACGAGTGGTAGGCCGGGTCTACGTACGTTCGAGGTGGCGCCGGTGGGTAACACGACGGCCCGGGGGGACCACCATACGGTGAATAGTACAGCGGTTGAGGCGCGGGGTACGGGTCCGGCTGCTGCGGCGGGTGGTGGTCCGGACGATCGCCGGCCCGAGCGGCCACCAACATTTGTTGCTGCTGTCCGGGCGACCCGGGCGGTGCTGCCGGCGGTCCGGGAGGATGGCCGTAATACTCGTGGTAGTACGTGGGAGGACCGACTGCCGTCGGGTTGTACGGCGCCGGCCGTCTGTGGTGGTACGCGATGTGATGGTAAGGAGAGCTCCGGCTGTGGTGGAAGTACCCGGGCTGATGGTGCGGTCCGGGATAGGCGCACGGGTTGGGCTCCGGCAAATAGTGGTGTTGCGGTACCTGTGGCGGCGGTGGCGGATACTGCAAGTTGGCCGATGCCGGCGGTGACGGGTAGTACGACGATATCGGCGGCGGATGGTACGAGCTCTGCTGTGGGTAACCGCGGTGGTAACCGGGCGGCGTCGGCGACGACGTCGATCTGGCCGGTACCACTTCGGTGTCCGACGTCTCGGTCTGCGGCGGGGCCGCTGTGCCGGTAGACGAGGGCGGTGTAGGCACTAACGGCGGCACCAGCGACGACTTGACGTGCGGCGGGTGATGCAAGTGCAAGTGGTGCGGTAGAATGTGGTGCGTAATCAACGGACCGGCCGGTTGGTAGTACCCTGTAACGAGAAAAAAACACAAAACGTTAATAAACCCTTATCTCAACGAGAAACTATGATAACGGTATAATATTCCAGTTGTTTCAGAGAGACGGATAAGTAAAATATTATGAAGTAAGCGAAAAGCTACAGTATGACCAAAATAACAAAGTTACATTTCAGTTATCATATTGCCATAAGACATTTTGATCTATATATTATTGATACTGTGCAGTGTTTAACGACTTATAAAAGAAAGTATTTATTTGTGTTAAAGGTGGGCACACTGTCGGTGGCCTTCTTAATCATCATTTCATTCCAAGTACAAGGCATATTATAATATTACACGATGTTATAGCTCTAAATATTTTTACTCTAAGAGTTGTATTCGGTGTAAGAATAATGGCGGTTATTATTAACAGTCGGAATAGATTTGCCGGTAGGTTTTAACAGCGGCAACAAAACGGGACAAGAACGATCGACGTTTGATTTAAATTCATGGTAATTCGCAAAGAGATAAATCGGCCAGTCGGGTTTTTTGCCCGTTGATTTATGCTCGCATTGTTTATCCCCAAAGGTGGTGTTATAAATAATTTGTTCTTTCTCGCCCGGTGTAAGACGCCGGCGTCTCGGCCTATATACTGTTTAATGAACAGTGTCCCTTCGGACAAAGTGCCCACATTATTATAATCCTAGCAGGAATATAAAATAAGTAAAAATGAAAATTAATACAACGCAGAATAGAGGCAAACAAAAAAACAACAACAACCGTCTATTAATATTTAAGTAACGATATACACACGAGTTGTTTGTTCGAAAAAAGGTCGACCGCCCGTGAAATCCTTTGTAAACTTTAAAACCCGATTAAAGCGTGGTGGAAACGCCTCTTGCAAGTTTATTAAAAAACAGTATCCGATAATTAAAAGGCACGATAATAATAATTATAACAACAACAGCAACCACGTTTTGATTTACATTACAGGGGTAACCGCAAAAATAATAACCATAGTATAAAACAAACGAGAAGAAGTTCTTATCCTAAAATAGGAAGCGATTAAACCAACTAGATTTTTACATACACCTAATTGGCAGCGCAGGCGAAATACACTAAATATGTCGATTTGTTTTTCCATAGTTTAATATATACATGTATACATGTTAATAAAAATATTAAATTCACTTAAATACAGCCGGCGGAGATTTGTTTTTTATACACACTTACGAACGCAATAGGAACGAACGTCTGGCACAATAATAAATTGTAATACAAGATTAACTAGTTTAATTAATACTTAAAAGAATTAAATAATACAACCGGTAAGAGTACTTAACGTCGGCTAAACAAGTTCCGTAGGAAATAATCTTAATTAATCCGCAATAAATATTATTTAATTAACGTAGGAACATAAACAAAACCCATTTAGATTTATCTGTCAACATGTTTTCGTGGAAATGGTTCCATAGTTATTTTGCAGTACATTTAAGCTATACCAATTCTAATTATCCACATACAGTAAATTTATGATAATTAAAAAATATATATTTTGTTCGGAGTTTTGGAAAAGAAAACTTGTAATCGATTATCTTCTCTTGATTTTTTTTTTTTTGAAATTTGACAATCCTTCTAACAATCTTAAAACGTTGCATAATATTATGATAGCCGTGTTATTCGAATATTATCAATATTTTTTCGTTTTAAAACGTAGTACATTAATATCAATTTATATTTGTTAAAATAATTTCCTAATGGTTTATTTTTATGTTTCGTGAAAACAATTTATACTTCACTTTTTTATCTTATTATTTCTTAATTATTTATTGTACTCTTGTTGTGTTTTATTACCGTATACTTGAGCCTTTAAATTCAAAGAAATAATAACACTTCAGTGTACAACGTGATATATATAATTATATTTAATTCTATTAAACAAAACATATTAGCGTGTATTAATATATATATACTAAAAGTACTTAAGAAAATACGGTTAAGAACAACACCAATAAAAACACAGCGGAATGAAATAGAATATTTTCAACGCCATCACACTAGTAGCATTTGTTTTGCCTCTCGTCAGAACTACATATTTTGATTAGCTGAAAAGGGTCAAAAATTCACATTCAATTAAAACTCTCATTAAAAACCCCTTTCTCATAAATAACCGATTCAGATTTTTGGCTGTTGGCCGACTTGACACCGGTGTGGATTGAAAAACAAATACTTATCCAGCATGATCGTTTAGGGCACGTCCATTGTTTAAGTAGGACGGCGGTCGAGTATATTCCAAATAATAATTACACTTCCCCTGTTGTCACATACGACCGATTAGCACAACCACCGAGTCGTTAACGCCGCTTTCCATGAATAATACGGGACCCTCTCTCTCTCATCGTGTGTATGTTGTAGACTAATATTATAATGTATCAAAGCCGCCAATACGGCACAAATCCGCTTTGAGCACACACACAGACCGGCGCTGTTAATTAGACCGGACGGCCGATTGTCCATTTGCCGCTTCTGTATAATATATTATACACATGGTCCGAAAACAAACACAAAATGGCAGAAATTTCAACGCCAAAGAGCTGACAAAGTGTAAGCGTGCACAGAAAAAAAATATACACAGTTGGTCCAACACTAAATGTTTAGTCGGATGTACATTTTATTTAGTTATACCATCTGGAAATAGATTTAGTTGGGCCGACTATAAAAATAATACTGAAACATGAGTTCTATTAATCGGTGTACAAACTAGACATGGTTTTCCATTGAGCTCATAACCAACGGCGTTTAGGCGTCCTCTCTATCGCTGTTATTTTAATAGTTATTTTGTAAGTATTTAAATCATTAACTACTTTTAAGAGGTCTACCTACAAAATTATTACTGCGGTGTAATAGTTGAATATTTTCGCAGCATCAATATGAATTCCGAATAGGACACATACATTTGGGTTTTTTAACCCATCTTTTATAAGTCTTTTGTGAAGATAGTATTTTTTATTTTGTTTTTTTATAAATGGTGGCCAATTGTGTTTTTAGGTGCACACGAATCACTTAAAAACGAAATGAACCATCATAGCCGCCAACTATCAGACATTTTTCACTCTGAAGGCGGCAATGGCTAAAAACAGGACATATTGATGTTTATAATCAACGCTGAATATTAACATTGTTATCGTCGTTTGCTTCTCGTCAGGTTTACAAAATAAAAATGTTTTAAATAACGTTAAACCACTCTTGTGAGTACACATTATACCGTACATTACCCAATTGGCAATTACCTAATGACTATATTTTTAGTGTTTACACTAAACAAACGGTAACCGAATACCGTTACCACCCCCGCCGTACTGGGAGGTTTTATCGCTTCAACCCCCAAACCTTGTACATATTGTACTCGGTTTGCGGGCAATAATGTTCTCTATACAATATTATTACTTGTTTATTAGCAATATTTTTTACTCGTTCAATCCTTTCTTTCCGGTAAACACACGGTCATGCGATTCGGTAACACAAACGGCACCACACAGGGCACCACCACTTCGGTTATAGGTTGACACCGCCGGCTGACGCATGCGTTTTATCATAATCAATGACACATCCGTTTTGTTATTCCAAATAGTAGCAATAATACAATAATATGATTTACACAATCGCAACGAACGAGACGCGGTTTTTTCGGAAAGTAAACACCACGGCACACGCTTTTCTTGGAGCAAATCGATATATTTTATTTTAATGCACGGTATACAACACACAAAAGCGTATACACAATAATAAACATACACCGTGTAAGAACTCGACGCGACGGTAAGTATAACATTATAGTGCGCGGGCCGCCCTTAAATAAAATACATGATTGCAAATAGTTTGCCGAAGAAAAATCCAAAATATTCTCCCTCCCTCCTTCCCCTCTCTTACACTTATTAATCGACTGCGCGGTCTTGACCTTTGCCGGACCGCTACTTTGGCTACCTCGAAACACCCTCGATCAAAAATGGTCCAGCCCCCAAGTAGTACCCGTTGAGGTCCAGCGTCGAAGGCTTATGTGCAAACAAATAACCGCTTTAAATAATGCTATTGCAATATTGACGGCGGCATGTGTAGAGTCGTAATTAGCTATGCGGCGAGTCTCACAAAAGTTATTGTTGAAATGAATATAATATAGATATAAGTACATATATATATTTATGACGTCCGTCGGCGGTTATCGTTTCCACACGTAAGGTTAAGGCGACTGCTGCCGTTGGACTTCTATATCGATTGGGGGTGGTAGTTATTTATTTTTTTAAGTTGTGGCACAGAAATACTACAATTAACCGCACGGAACAAAAACTAGGACGCGTTATGTGTGTCAGGAACGAACGAGTTTCGGTTGAGACCCGAAAAGCAATTATTAATTAAAAATATGCAAAAAAAAAATCAACCTAAAGACCGACTACGGTCAAACCCCTAAGACTTTGCACGAAAAAGCGAAAGAAATATGTACGTTAATTGTTTAGGTTGTCCACGTTTGTCGGTAGTACTGGATATGTCTTAAGAATATTCTATACACATTTGGAACTCAATTGGACTTAATAAGGAGCCCGGTAATTTTAAGTTGTGTTTTTCTCGATTTTGATGGGGAAGGGATGAATTTTATAAATTTTTAGTCTAATAAGTAGGTACACCTTCTTATAGGTACGATTTGTGATCTCAAGAGCTGCTACGCGAAGAAATCGGTTCAGTGGTGTAACTGCAAATTTTCGCTTCAAACGGAGTCACATCGTTGGTTATTTCAAAATTCAATTCAACGACGAACGACAGCTGTTGTAAGTACAGTTTGTAGTGAAGAGAGCTGGCCAAATTTTTGGATTCTTTTTAAGTGTTATTTTCGAGTTAACGGGGGTTTTTTTTTTTGAGTTCAAGTTTTCGTCTTTAGAAGTTCACATTACAAAAAAAAAAAAAAAAACGCTCCTCCGGTGGCCGACATAATATTGTATATAAATAAAAAAAATAATATTAATACCGTTTTGTCATTACC